ATATAAAGGAAAATATTCTCATTATAGCGTCGTGTAGCAGACTCTGTTGCTTCAGCCGCTACTTCCGCGTTGTTTATTTACGTCACGTCTTACGTCGGGAAATCCCCCGCGCTCCCTCCCCTCTGACAGGGAAAGTCCCCCGCTGTGAGGAGCATATGTGAACGGCTAGGTCGGGAGAATCTCCGGAGAAGTCCTCCTGTAAATATCTAGATATTATCCGGAATGCATACGTGAAAGCTGCTATAGAGAGAGATTAGCAGGTGGAGATACAGAGAGTGTTTTTCCAAAAGCTGATGGAGACTAATAACAGAGATTATAGCACCAATTAATCAAAAGTGAAACTAGTTCTTATTTGCATGCTATCACAAATTTCTAAACAGTTGTTTTTTTAAAAAGAGGACATATTCTACCCCTTCTCCACCTTTTCAAAAAGTTTCCTGTGGTCTAAATGAAACATCTGTGCTGTGTTTTGGTCAAAATATAACATGAATCAAGCACCAGAGGAGGTTTGTGACCCTGTATAAACCAGCTCTCTCAGAACGCTCCATTTTGGTGTGTGTCTCTTTAAATGTAATGAACCCCCCTGAGTTTTCCTGGTAGACATCAATCCTCTATAGCGAGAAAAAAAATGGCAGACCTACACAAAGGTTTTGTTCTAGGCTGGAGGTGGAGTCCATGGGTGGAGATACCAGGGGAGGGGATGGGATTTTATCACCAGAATCCCACTGTGACATCACAAGGAGAACAAATTTGAAACAGAGCATTTTTCTCTGTATTGTAAGACTTATGTAGACCACAAACAAAGGACTGGATGGGTTTATTTCACATTTTGTGGGTCTGTAGATGCTCAGGTTACCCAAATATATGTTCAAAAACACTGTAACAGTGGATTTTTCACAATATGTCTCCTATAAGGCAAAAAGAGCAGATGAAGAAGAGGAATGGAGGGAAACTTGTGAATGAGCAGTACTTGTTCCACGGGACAGATGAGTCTCTGATCGAGCCGATCTGTGATCAGAACTTTGACTGGAGGATGTGTGGTGTCCATGGGACGTCCTACGGCAAAGGTACAGAAAAACAGCACCAACAGTTATTAAATCAAAATGACCGATATAAGGTATAAAATGTTGACAGATTTGTTTTGGTATGGGACACAAAAGTCCACATGTATGAGGTTCCTTCACTGGAAAAGGGAGTTTATTTTATCGTAGAAGAATCATTTTCTTTTACAATGAGCATTAACACCAAGCAGAAACCTCTGGTATAGAAAAAGAATCCAATAGGGAAGTGAAAAGCTGCAGTTCCTTGAGTGTCCACTTGAGGCTGGCCGCAAAAGGCCGAGAAGTCCCACTGACACCTTTAAAATGTTGATTTTTACAACAGAACTACACATTTTAGTCTGGTATTTATACATATGGTCTCCTTAGCTCATTTTTGTATTGTGTTGTTCATCCATTTTGATTATATAAAGGTTGAGAGTTATGCATGATTGCTACGTCCATATTTTAAATGCAGTCTTGTGTTTCTTTATTTTTAGGTAGCTACTTTGCCAAAGATGCGTCCTATTCAGACAGATACGCCAAGGTCAACAGACAAATAAGAAGAGCATGTTCGTTGCTCTAGTCCTGGTCGGGGAGTACACGAGGGGAAGCAGCAGCTACGTCCGACCTCCACCTAAAGGAGACGGCAAAACCCTCTATGACAGCTGCGTAGATCGTGAGAGCAACCCGAGCATCCATGTCGTCTTTGAAAAACAACAGATTTATCCGGAGTATCTTATCAGCTACTCGTAAATGGGGCTTGGTTCAAGGCTTTACAGAGTTTATCTGTGGTAGAAGAAACATTCAGGTTCTATACTTTAGTAAAGAAAATGTAAAATTACTCCAGAAGTTGTAAGAACAAATGACACAGAGTAGCTCGTGAATGTGATATTTTTTAGTGCTGCAGCAGATTGAATATATATTTAATACTATAGAAATTTGGGTGGTTTGAGCTTAAGCTATGCATCAGATTTTATGAACAGATACTTTCCTCTGAGATGCAGTTTAGTCTTATTAGTTTACAGGCTGTCTTTTTATCTTTACAAATTCATTTTTTAACTGTTTCTCATGTTTTTAACAATACTTTTTGTCAAGCTCCTGTGAGGAATTTGAGGCTTGATCCAAAAGCAACTGGACTTAGTTGGAGATCTTGAAGACGTTTCACCTCCCATCCTCTGAAAGGCGTCTTCAGGTCCAAGCTAACTGGTGGGCCGAGCTAGAAATGTAAGCCTCTGTGGATAGTTTTGTTGAGAGTCATTGCCACCCCAAGTTGAGTGGGTAGTTTGAGTCACATGTTCAAAAGTGGGACTGGGGCTTCAGTTGTTTTGGGAGAGGACAACTGGAGAAGACTAACGGAGTAAAGATGAAACGTCTTCAAGATCTTCTACCAAGTCAATTTGCTTTTGGATCAAGCTTTGAATTTACCATGACCTGGATGTCTGAGAACCAACACAGACCTCCTGTGAGGTACTTCAGCTTGTGTTGATTTTGGTGCCCCCATGTGTCTTATCTCCTTGTTGATCCTGTCCTGTACAGGTAAATCCACTTGTCTGACACCTGTGGTTACAGACATTTTAAAATTACTTAATAAAAAGAAGCAATCTTGATTCTGATGGTCTTGGATGCTTTCCTGGCTCATGTAGAGCATAAATATAAATCTGTCTGTTTCATAACCAGCTTAAAAGTCCTCACAGGGGCTTTCAATGTTCTTTACTTTTGTGTTTTTAAAATTAGAAAAGTCTTTAGTAACTCTTTTAAATGTTGAACTTTTGTTATTAACGTGTGTTCTGGGGAATTTTAAAGGTGTCGGAAAATATTCAGTGCAAAATCAAAATGTTGGATGTCTGTTTAATGTCATTAATATACATCTGATTCTGAATAAAGGATACCGATGAAAAAATATGGACTTGTGTTGTGTTGGTTTTTAAAGAGAGGAAAAGACAGGAGCACTCTTTGCTCTAAGAAGCATCCAAAGCACCCAACACTGCTTTTAATTTATGTTCAGATGCAGAATGTCAACCTGCTCATCATGATCTATTCTAATCTATTCTAATCTATGTTAACAGACGGTGGTAATACATGTTGGGGGTTGATACCCAGCTCATGCAGCCACATGTCCGATGTGTCCTTGGGCAAGACACTTAACCCACGTTGGTACCGCTGCTTTGTCGGCGGCGTATGAATGTTCATGAATGGATTAGCTAATACTGATGGCCACTTTACACAGCAGCCTCTACCATCAGTGTGTGAATGTAAAAGCATTTGATTAGTCAGAAGGCTAGAAAGTGATATACAAGCTCAAGGCCCTTTACCAATAAATTTTGTGTCATCAGCGTATGAATGGTAAGATATAGTATGTTTCTCCATGATTGTAATGGGGGGGAGCACGTATAGAATAAAGAGCAGCAGCCCAAGGACTGATCCTTTTGGGACCCCAGAGAGAAAAGTTGTCTTTAGACTTAAAATTGCCATGATACAAAGGGAAAAGTTAAATGAATTGAAAATAGTAAATTAATTATCAGTCAATATATTCAAATATCGGAGGACTAGAGAGAAAATATGTAAACCAATCAGTTCAAGTATACGTAATATAAGGTACCTCCCAACACGTTTTTTTTATATCTTAGCTTGCAACAAGAGGATGATACGATATAAACTGATAAACTTTGCTACACTGTGCAGTTTTTTTTACACTGTTGCACTGATTCTTGAGGTGAAAATTTTCCATTTCCTGCATTTCCTGCACTTCAAATTTTCCATTTCCTGCTGTGACCAGCTGTAATTTTTCGAGCGGTAAAGTTTACTGACACGTGTGACCAGGTAATCCCCCAGCTTTTAGTGTTGATCTGATCTAATTTCCCAGCACTGTATGCAAATAAAATCTCAGACTCAATCATCTTCAACCTGTAAAAATATCAAATGATTAAAAAGTGGACTTTCATCAGAGATAGCAAGAGAGAAGCGTTGATGAGGATGAGCGAGAGAGAGGAAGTGTGTGAATATAGACTGTTGTATTGAATATAAATAATAATAAAAAATAAAATAAAAATATTTTGTTGAATAAAAAAATAATTGTGTTGAATATGAATAATATGAATATAAATGCACACAAAAATACACAAAAAGTAAATCAATGGTAGGGTACAAATTCTTTGCATGGGCTGAGAATTTGCCAAAGGCAAAGCACATGGCGGCGTGAAAATATGAAATCTAAGTTCAAAGGACTCTCCAAGACTGTAACTTCTAACTCAAGAATATCATAAAACACAGTCTAAATAGTTTTTTGGTTCGTCTTAAAGGAAAGTTATTCCACATAATAAACAGCCTCTAATAAGAAAACCACGAAACAACTCTACCAAACTCACATTTGTTAATGAAAGATTCTGCCAAAATGATCTTATTATTTGTATTACTACACAAATAGCTATTTATAGTGTTGTAGTCAAGACCACACTAACCAAACCAGAGTGCTCCGAAACTGAGACAAGACCAAGACATTTAAGGAAAGACTGAGTCAAGACCAAGACCAAGGCAGTGCCAGCCCGAGACAACACCAAGGCTGGGCGAGACCGAGACCTAGGCCTATTTCTTTTTTTTTTTGTCTCCTATTACTTCCCCCTTTTTACTTCTGTAAAGCGTCCTTCTCTTTCTTCAAAGGCACTATATAAATCCAAGCTATTATTATTCTTATTCTTATTTTGTTTTCTAGATTTAAAGATAGCTTGTTACTATGGGAAACCCAGCAACGTTATCCCAAGATAACAAGATAAATAAGTCGAGTTAATGACTTTATGGATGAAAATCATTTTATTTTCAACCACATGTTTTCCCTATTATTTTATTTCCTTTTTATTTTCCCTTTAACTATGTGATAGACTCTGCAGCCAATGGATGAAACGAAACAAGCCCGTGCTTTAACAACAGTTTAAAGGTTACTTGGCCTGAGCTGATATCAGGATGACTGTAGACATCCCTGACTTTATCAACTAAACACAACAATGATGTCTGAGCTTAGGGAAGCTAACACCTGTTAGTGGTCCTGACAAGCCTCTTCTTTGAGAAGAGTAAAACTGCATTTAGTGAAGGATGACGGAGGGTCACAGGTAGTCGAATAATCAGCTATTGTCTGATAATGGCTAAAAACATGGTCTACTGATCCATCAGAAGAAGCCCGGAGAGTGTCCACTGTGAGATGGCTCACACTTGTGCAGGTGCTATGTTTGCGGGGGATGCAACTTTGGGTAAGTAGGTCTTTGTTGCACTTCATTTGGGAGGTTTCTCGCTTCTTTCAATAAGTACTCGCAATTACAATCGTACTGTAGTTCTAGTTCATATACACTGCAAAAACTCCAATCTTTGCTCCTTTTTTTGTCCTATTTCGTAATTTCGTATTTCGCAAAAAATCTCTTAAAGAGATATTTTTTAATCTCTTTTTTTAAAGAGATATTTTTTTTTATCTCTTAAAGAGATATTTTTTTTATCTCTTAAAGAGATATTTTTGACTAGAAATTGGACAAATACACTTGATAAGAATTTTTTTTTTTTTTAAGTATTACAGTCTGATACTTCTAAAACAGTTGCTTGATGTTCTTGAGTTATTATTATTATTATTAAATTATTTGGCTAAATAGATTATAATTATGTAACCTTAAACCCTGGGCACACACAGGTGTTTCACTGAATTACTTGGTAAGACCTTCTCTGGTTGGTCTATTTTTGCTTGTTCACACTCACATGCCCTTCAGTCGTTGAGGCCGCTAGAATAAACAAAATTAGTTAAAGAAAGCAAAAAAAAAAAGATATTGGCAGATAAGTTTTAAGCTAAATTATAGTGAAAGAATGCAGCAGTACAGGTGATTTAACAGAGAATGGTGTAATGGGAAATGTATGTGCCTACTAGAAATGTACTAGACTGTTAGTGTTGCATACGAAGATTATCATTTCAGAAACTGATGTTTTGAAATAGAAAAGGACCTTGAGAGCTTTGGTGAAACTGCCTCCCCGGATTGAATTGTCTGTACCAAGAACTGTCCATACCAGGTGTTGCTTTTTTATCTTAGCACAGTGGTTGTGTCATAACTTTGTATACTGTACATGTCTAGTGTGGAGAGGGACTGCCCTTCTCTGAGCTTTGCTGCAGACTGATCTTTCATTCTGAAGCTTTGTTCCTCCTATTTGCAAAATGAATAATATAATACCAACAAATACAACTGAATGACTCAAAGATCTTTTATCAAACAAATTCTCATTACAGAAATTTCCAGCACAAAGTAGTGCAAGACAGCTTGGACTGTGGAACAAATAAATGGCTGAGACTTGGCTCCTCAGCAAAATCTGTGAAAGTTAAATCAATTCTAAAAAAAGCCATAAAGCCATAACAGAGGTTTCTACATTTGACGCCAGGTAAAACTGGAGTCATGTAATGGGTTTTGAATGAGGTGACAATAAAGAGAGTTATAAATATCAAAACGAAACCAAATAAAGGCCGGAATAACATTCTCAAATCCCTCTCTCTCTTTACAAATGTGTGTTGAAGTGAAGATGGTGCTTTTATTTCTAACATTGTCCGATGATTTCTATTGTTTTGTTTTTTTCTTCCCCCTAAGAGGAGAGCACTTGTCCCCTCTGCCGCCTTCCTTACAGGTGGCAGGTGTTAGAAGGCGACGGTGTGACCTGGAAGGACCTGCCTGACATGGAGGACATCGAGAAGGCTTACTGTGACCCGGGGCGCGAATCAAGCTGCATGGATCAACTGACACACACCTTAGACAGTTTGAGATATTTGTCGATTCAAAGGTGCGTCAATGAAAAAACATATGGTTATCTATCTCGATTTGAACATCAAGTTGCTGTTTTGCTTTTTATTCAAAATAGTCTCTGGAAGTGTAAAGTCCATTTGAGGGAATTGTTGTTTCACTCTGCTTGCTTCCAGCTCTGCGTCCATTAAAGATCAGGCAGTTGACTTCCTGACGATGACATGTGGAGGCTCTCCTGTTCGTCGCCTGTCCACTGCCTCCTCCGTCTCAAAGCCTCCTCACTTCATTCTGACAACCCAGTGGCTGTGGTACTGGAAGGATGACATTGGGGAGTGGCTGGAGTACGGACAGGTAAGACAAATTTGTAATAGTGATGCAGCTGTGTGACTTTGTTCCATCTCTATGTTTTGATTGTTTTCAAGTCGATTTACTTAAAAGTCGAAAGACTTAAGGCTCTTAATGTGCTGGCACATGTTGATAAAGCTGCTGATTGGATTGGCTAGCAGCAGCCAGAAAGCCGAGGCTCTGTGCATCTTTGCAAACAAAGAACACATTATTTTACAGTTCATACTGGGAGTTCATGTTATGAGGATGGACTCTCGTAGCCATGGGTGTGTCCAGAGGGGTCTCCAGGGGTGGCATGTGCCCCCTTTGAAACCCTTGAAATCTGATTTGCCACCCCAGGTTAGCTAAATTTCAGAGGCGAGACCTATGTCCAAATCAAGTATTCAGGCTGTGTTGCAACAGGTTAGTATTAGTTTTCTTTACAAGTTAATGAAGCCCCTTTTCTTTCCTGAACACCTACATTTAAAAAAAATACTTGTCATCATAAGACTGCCATTTCACTTGATACCTCTAAGGTTTTTTTCATATTTTACTGTTATTGTCTGCTTTGTGTTTCTCTTCAGGCCGGTGCTGACACACCAGTCACCTCAGAATCTCTGGAGAGCGTCTACCAAGCAGACATAGATACAGATGTTGAATTTAATGCAGGCGATCAGAGGTACACTCTTTACTTTAGAGGTGAACCACAAACCATGCAGATGTATCAGCAAAATGTAAAATACAAAAACCAAGAGAGAGGTCAGACGGAGGCCTCGATTTGTGTCTGCTCAGGAGGTGGAGGAGCTCTCAGATTGTCGATACAAGGTATCTTTATAGATAGTGTTATCTTTTTTTTTAATGAGTTGAAAAGCCTGTAAGTAAAAATTTTGGCTTCAAGGGTAAGAAGGCTCTTGGCTATGACATGTTTGTACAAATCTATACTGTAGTTCAGGTGCATTTCATGCTTTTAACAATTTGGGTACCCATCGGCTATCATCAGACAATGTATTGCCTTTTTGGAGCAACAGACAGTTTTTCATTTCTTAGGCCTACTGTTATCCAGTTAAGCAATAAGCAAGGACTCTATGAATGATGTAAAAGTCACCATAATGACACCAATCCATCAAATATTCTTCTCATCACTTTGGCCCTCCAAATCGCTTCGTGGAAAACAAATACATGAATGTATGCTAAACACTGAAGGAGCCCAAAAGCAGACACAGCACAAAATGTTAACAAAATAATACTCACCAAAAAACTCAGTTTGTGTCATAAACCACACAGAAACCCATATTTTGTTATTGTTATGTGTGTAAAAACGATCGCTCTTCGTTCAAACCCTCACCTGTGTTCATGAGTTTTGGGTAGTGACAGAAAGAATGAGATAGCGGATACAAGAGTCCGAAATGAGTTTCCTCCCGAGGGTGTCAGCCTTAGAGATATGGTGAGGAGCTCAGACATTCGGGGGGAGCTCGGAGTAAAGCAGCTGCGCCTTCGAATCAAATGGAGCCAGTTGTGGTGGTTCAGGCATCTCATTTGGATGCCTCATGGATGCCTCCCTTTGGAGGTTTTCCCGGCACGCCCAACTGGGAGGAGACCCCGGGGTAGACCCAGAGTTCGCTGGAGGGATTATATATCCCGTCTAGCCTGGGAACGCCTCGAAATCTCCAAGGAGGAGCGGGAAAGTTTTGCTAGGTAGAGGGAAGTCTGTGTTGACTTACTGCGCCTTCTGCCACCGCGCCCTGACCTCGGATAAGCGGACGAAAATGGATGGATGGATGTGAAAACATGGCCAACAGATGTAGTTCAGTGACTGATTTAGCTGTTGATGTTTACATCTACATCCAGATGATAACCGATGGGTTCATGTATTGTTACACACGTCTGACACAGAGAAATGTTATTCTTCACCTACAGACAGTGTATTCATATGCAGAATCTTTTTTTATAAAACAATGTTTTTTTTTCCTTTTTGAACATCAAATATATCTTTCATCCTGACCTGTTCCTCTGTGTTGTACCTTTTATGTTTCAGACCATACCACTCTCCAAGTCTGAGGAATATAACATGATTGAAATGAGTTTTAAGAAAACCATGTCTGGGAGCAAAATTCACAGCATCAAGAGGATCCAGAACCCTTCTCTGTGGAGAGTCTTTCAATGGTAAATCATCGACCTGGCTATTAGGCTTTAAAGGTGGCTTGAAAAAACAATGTGAAAGTGGTCTATTGCCTTGATATGATCAATTCAAAGAGATGTCGCCTGACACTTTGGAGCTCTCTTCGACTTAAAGGGATAGTTCTGTAGAATTAAAGTGGGTTGCATGACTTACTTATCAAACATAGTATTGATACTATGCTCAGTAGATAACAGCCAGAGAAGTCCCTGTTTGGAGAGCTGACTAGAGATCCTACACGGAAGCTAATCCATGTACTGCTGCAGAGCTTTGGTTTCAGCATCAACAACTTTTCACTGCAGTGTACTCTGGCGCCACATCAGAGGACATGCGGGTTCGGTTCAAGAGCTCGCAGAGTGTTCTTTAGAGCCACTGACGACATCCCCAGTTCAAATCAGTGGTTCTCCATCCCTGCTTCCCATCCAGTTTGCCGGAACATCCTTGAGGCCAACCAGAAGTCCCTCTCCATAGTAATGGATGGTAAATGGACTTGAGCTTGTGTAGTTCTTTTCTAGTCTTCTGACTACTCAAATTGCTTTTACACCGCAGGTCACACCTACACATTCACACGGGTGGTAGAGGCTGCTGTGTAGTGAGACCATCAGAAGTTACTAATTCCATTCATACACATTCATACGCCGCTGATGAAGCAGCGGGAGCAACCTGGGGTCAAGTGTCTTGACCAAAGGACCCATCGGACATGTAGCTGCAGGAGCTAGTGAGATTGAATCCCTGACTTTCTGGTTGAGAGACGACCGACTCACCAACTGAGCCACAGCTGCCTAAAACCTAAACTCCTCCCACACCCACTTTTTGCTGCCGAAACCACAGAAGCCACACCCCTCTTAGACTAGACCCCCTATTCCTGTCTGCTGCTTCCTGAGAACCCTTAGCTAACCAAGCCCGAAATTCCTCCTTCCTCTGCCTGACAGCTTCCTTCACCGCTGGTGTCCATCAACTGTTTCTTAGGTTGTTGCCACAACAGGCATAGACGGTCAAGCCACAACTCCTCACAGCCAATTGAAGGCTTTTAATATGGCCCACTCAGATTTCATGTTCCCAACCTTCTTTGGGATGCAAGATAAATTCTTTCGGGGGATGATGTTGAAGACTTTCGCATTCCTGCCTTTCTGTAGGCCCAACTCAGACGGCAGGTGCTCCTCTTGTAGCATCACTTTAGCTGCAGCAGGCAGTTCTCTTGAGAACGCACATTAAGGTCTACAGGAAACAAGAAGACATGGTTAGAGACCTGTTGATGAATATGGTGGAGCAAACAGATCAGATGGAGATACAGATATCTTTTCAAGGGAGCTGATATAAACCGAGAACAGAGCTCGTAGAGAAGCAATCAATCAAAATCAAATCTAATTCTTAGTTGCATGGTAACTGAATACGTTTTCTGTGTTTTATGTGTCTTCAGGCAAAAAGACCAGATGAAAAAGAGGAACGGAGGGAAAGTTGTGAATGAGCAGAACTTGTTCCACGGGACAGATGAGTCCCTGATCGAGGCGATCTGTGATCAGAACTTTGACTGGAGGGTGTGTGGTGCCCATGGGACGTCCTACGGCAAAGGTACCATTTAAAAGCTAAAGCATAAAAATAATACAAGTAATGAAGCATTCTTTTCTAAAATGTGACTTTGGTCAGGAAGCAGAAAGTTATTTAAGTCCAGTGTTTATCAGACTGTTATAAATGAACAAAGCAGCATATTCAATCTTTTTTATCTTGAATACAACCTTTTTCTTTTGGAGTGTGTCAGTGGTTAACACTTTGTTTAAATCTAGGTAGCTACTTTGCCAAAGATGCGTCCTATTCAGACACATACGTCAAAGTCAACAGACACAAGAAGAAGACCATGTTCGTTGCTCTAGTCCTGGTCGGGGAGTACACGAGGGGAAGCAGCAGCTACGTACGACCTCCACCTAAAAGAGATGGCAAAACCCTCTATGACAGCTGCGTAGATCGTGAGAGAAACCCGAGCATCTATGTCATCTTTGAAAAGCACCAGATTTATCCAGGGTATCTTATTGAATACTCATAAAGTACCAGTGCTATTCTTTCCTTCTCTGAAGTCCTTGGTCAAGGGGAAACTCTTTTATGGGTTGCTCTTAATTTGATACATGATGATGGATCAATCATTTAGGGTCTTTACTTTTGATGGCGCTGTGGACAACTGAGCACATCTCAAAGCCGGCGACAGCCTATAGGGCCAAGGAGTCCCGCCCACCCAAACAAAATGTGAGGGGGGGAAATGAATATCAGTTTAAATCAATGCTGCCAATTCAGAAGTAGACTGGCACAATGCTGATACTGATTCAAACTTGTGATCGGGTGGTCAGCATGCAACATCACGGAGAGGCCTGCACCTTTTTGTTGGTCGAGTTTGATGAACAAATTCAACGCTCTGATTCAGACTTCGGTTGAAAGAGCACACTAGTGGTATAGTACTTGAAATCGGTCATTCATAATTGGATTTTTATCCCCCGTTTACAGCAGCAACCTTCCTGGTGTTACGATCTAAATGAGGGACACGCCCCCTGCACACAAGATGATGTTTATGGTCTTGGCCTGGACTTAGTCTCGATCTCTTTATGTCTTGTTTCGGAGCACTCTGGTCTCAGGTAGGTCTTGGTCTCAGTTAGTGTGGTCCTGAATTCAACACTAGTTGGCGCCCAAGACCAGAAACATGTCACCAATCAGTGACTGTATATATATACTGTATGTATATTGCAGATCAATAACTACTTCATGCTTACTTTCAAAATTGTGTGTAAATGTATGAATCACCTTTATTGAAAACAAATAAAAAAAACATTGTATTCAGTGAAGGTCGTTCATTGTCCTTGTGGGGAGTGGGTGGGCGCCACCCTAGCATCACTGTTCCGTCTGGGTGTTTTATTTAGCACACACAGGTGAAACAGAGTTCAGGAGTTATTTGCAGCTCAGAATCTTTCTCATGAAATCTCTGACAACTGAACTGAGGGAGCGGACCCTAAAAGAAGTGGACGACCCGATCTCCATCATGAGAAGTCAGTCACATTTTAAAAAAAACAACAAAACTCAAGAGGTTAATACTTTTTAATAATCACAAATGTCAAACAACCCATTTTATATGCACAGCAGGCACATTCAGTGCTCAGCCCTGACTCACTATTTTTAACACATTCAAAGTTTTTATTTAGGGCTGAAATTCTCAAGCAGCTCAGAATAACCTCCAAACATGGAATAGATTAAGATAGAGATGTTTCAATGTCAACAACATCTCCTTTAAGAAACATTAATGATAGAATCAGAATGACAAGTAAACAGTTGATCGCACCAACTCCCGTACATCCCCGCTGTCATTTTCTATCATAGCAGCTTTCATTTGAGTGCACGATGAAGTGATGTCACCAAGTCTTCAATAAATGAAATCAGAAACACATTGTAAGGTAACCCGTCTTTCCTGTCACATGGACTTCTCTATCGTCACCGTTTGATGGTCCTTTAAACAGTTAATGAATCCCTGTTCCAGGATAGAAGTGATATAACGACGATTTTAAATAGCAAGGTCTTAGTCATTTTCACTCCATTGTGTGCAAGTTTCAATCTTTGTGCATCAGATTAAAAGCACTTAAAGGTCACATATTCTCCTCCTTTTAGTTTCAATAAGTCTCAGAGCTCCCCAAAACATGTGTGTGAAGTGTCTTGTTGTAAATCCACTCTGATCCTGTATTTGATCATGACTATAAACCCCTCTATTTCAGTCCTGCTCAGAACAGGCTGTTTCTGTGTCTGTACCTTTAAATATGTAAATGAGCCGTGTCTGACCACGCCCCTCTCTGGAAGGGCTTGGGTGGCTCGGGCTTTCTCGCTCCATGTCCTATTGTTTACAGTGAGAAGGCAGACTCAGAGGGCAGAACAAACACCTAGCTGTGGGAGTGTCACCTACCTGGGGGAGGGGTTACTGCCCTTTGTGATGTCATGAAGGGAAAATCTCCAAACGGCCTGTTTGAGCACACATTTTCTGAAAAGTGGAGCAGGCAAAAGACAGAAAGGATGGACTTTTCTCATCATTGGGGGGTTTGTAGACAGACTAGAGACACATACTAGTGTTAGAGAAACATGGTGGAGTGGATTTTGCAGAATATGTGACTTTTAAAACCATTAAGTTAAAAAAGTTAAAAAATAAATCAACAAAGAAACTTAATTCTACAGTGTAAAGAAGAAGAGTGGTGACCTGGTTAAAGTGAGATAAACATTAAGGGTTATTTCCCCAAATATCCTTAATAATAAACATATTGAAGAGTTATATCCATTCAAAAAAATCACAGAAAAATAAAATCTATATTGCCACACTTTGAGGTAAGATGCATGAAGTAGAGCAAACAAATGATTCCTCAAGTTCCCTTATTCAATAATCACCAAAATAACTGATGAAACTCTCTGCGGGGATTCACAACAGCCTGAGTCCTCCACAGTCCATCAGTTTCTAATTATCTGATGGAGAATTCACGCCGCCTTCTCCTGCTTCTCTTCTTTGAATTTTCACAAAAATACCGTTTTTAGGTCCGAGTGTGCTCGACGACTTCAGCTCCAGAGGAACCTGTAGAAGAGGCAGAACACGCCATGTAAAGGAAATGCTTTATGGGATTATTGCCACATGTGTAAAATAATCACAGAGTGATGCTGAAGTTTGATTACTAGATTATAAATTGTTGGTTATTTGTTCAGTCGCTGCAGATTAAAATGATGTCCAGTCTCATAGTTCTCCTGCAGCACTAATTCAAATCTTCTTCTTGTTGCAGTTAACTGAACAGACTCTTGAAATCAAATCATATTCGAGCTAATAAATGTATGAGGAGTAAGCCTTTAAAGATATTAATACAGACACAAAAAGGTAAATTCATTTGGTTTTTCCATTTTCACCAGAGCTGCTCAGACTTGTAGGGCTTTCACACTCGCAGAAATCTCCTGGAAAACTCCAGTTTTTTCCAGGAGGAGGTGCATGTGTGAATGCAAACAGACACATTTTTCACTCGGACTTCACCCGGAGTTTCTCCTGCCAGACTCCTAGTATTATTTCTGCAGCAAGTCCAAGTGAGTTGATGTGAGAATGCAGCAGGATATTCTCCGGAATTCACCTTGAGCCAATAGGAGAGGGGGTGACGTTTATATACTGTGTCAGCTGCATGGTGCATAGACTGTCTGCGCGCCACCTCTACCATCTCTGTGCTCTAATGAACCTGCTGCATTATGTTTCCTGTTCTCCAGTATGTTCTTCTCCACTCTTTAGTTCAGATTGTGATTCTGTTCAACTACACGTAGCATTGATATGAAGACACATATTCTCATTACAGCGTCGTATAGAGGACTCTATCGCTTTGTTCGCTACTTCCCCTAATCAAACAAAGCCTTAAAGTTGCCTGCTGTATGTCGACTGATGGGAATGTTTACAGAGTGGTGTGTGAATGGACACTACAGTAGTTTGCAACAGCTTGTTGTACCCACCTTGGTCTCCGAGCAGGCCACAATGTTGAATCTGCGGAACAGACGCACCAGAGCCATTTTGATTTCCAGCTGAGCGAGCCTCATCCCCACGCAGTTACGAGGACCAGCCCCGAACGGAAGGTAGACGAACGGGTGTCGGCTGGCTTTGGCCTCCGGAGTGAACCTGGAGATCGACCACAAGCTTCATCATCGTTATCAAAATAAAGTTCAGAGTTTCATTCAGGTTTAGAGCAGTGAAACGTTTCTATCATTTCTGTTACAGAAACCCTAACCCTTCATTACAGGGGAGAAAGCTGCAGGATGAAATATAGCCTCAGAACTTAAAAAGCTCGACTCGTGTAGAAAGGTGGAATCGATACTGACAGCATTAAGGGAACGCCCGGAAAACGTCACATCCGTTTCGCACTGAGAGGGTAACAAACCAATAGACACCATGATGACTGCTGTGTGCCCTTTATCACTACAAATACACTGACAAATCTAAATCAAAGGTTTTACCGAACACAGAGTCGAGTGGGACAGACGCAAGGCGGGAGGACGAGCTTAATCGCCAATGGGATCCAAAATCCAAACATGTGCATGCCTGTAGTCAGCACTGCAGCACTATTAACTTTAACGTTTCACCTGATCCAAACAGTGTAAGATTGCTGTGGACATTGACCTTTTGCAAGAAATCATGTTTTCCTGACTTTTATATTTACATGATATCAAAGCCACGTCATTAGCCTACACAAAAAAAACACAAGTAAACCCGGTTTGATCAGTGAAGGATGTGAAGCTGAATCAGAGTGTATGGATCCAGATATTTCTCCGTATTTCTGGGCTCTATTAGCTTCTTTTTACTTCATCTTTCGGTGGTCTGTAAATCGCTCGACAGAGGGCTGCAGGTCGAAGTGAGTTCAACGTGAACAGAGCCAAGCTTTCTTTGAGTTTGAGGTAACTTAGTGTCAACAGCTGTTTAACTGTCGACACCTCCCGTTCATTTGGAATGAGACAACCACATACAGAACAACTCTCAACTTATTTATTATCGTTATTAGGTTGGATACTTTCCCCTCTCATGAAAAAAATGTGTGGAGATAATGTCAGTATTTATCTGAATAGAAGCCAGGATACGTTCATGTTGATGAATATCTATGGACTAAACATTTCTTATCTGTCGCTGTAGCAGCAGCTGTGTTAATCGGACTCTTACTGACATCAAGTACGAGGAGCTTTCTGCCACTCACTGGCTCTAAGTGCAGTGACTCCGCCCACCATGACATCACGTGCATACCCTCTATAATAGAAGAAATATGGATGCACTGCTGCACAGCACATTGCTTTTTATATTTCCTTTTTTTTTTACAGTTACAGCAGCTGCAGTGATAGAAACACAGCATGAATTATAAGATTATATTCAGCTTTAAGAGGTTTCATGTGACTTTACAGTTAAGGAACGACATCTAAACATACAAAGGAGGCAAAAGAGATCTGTCATTTCCTGTAAGGTCATTCCTACCGCTCAGGGATGAACTTCTCGGGCTCCGGCCAGTGCTCAGGGTCGTAGTGAAGGAAGCCAGCAGGGATCTCCAGCGTGGCTCCTTTAGGGAGAAGCTGACCGTTCAACACACAGTCGTTGTCGATGTCTCTCGCAAACCTTTGAGGGGGGGAAAAGTACCACAGGTGAGATTTTTAAAGCACTAAAACACATCTTTTCTTTCTTCACTCCTGTGGTATTTTGATCGAGTAAGTTATAAGTGGAATTATAGGGAGAAAAAGAACACACTGGATCATCACTTTATGTGCTGAAGTTACCTGAATCCAGGAGGGTAGAGGCGCAAAGCTTCACTGATCACCATGTCTAAGTACTTCAGCTCCTGGACATTTGAGTAATCTGGTGACTCCTGGAGCAACAGAGAACAACAAACTTTTAGTATAATGCATTAAACATGTAGAGAGAAGGCAACTTTACAACTTAAATCCAACAACATAACCAGCAGCTGCAGGAAGTGAGAGCGGTGCTCAATTTCACAATCACAGCTGCAAAGCTTCAGTCTCTGTTGAAGTGTGATATCAGCAAAGTACATTGATATATTTGTAAAATCAAAAGGGAAATAAAAAAGTGTTTGACGGACTCTCTCCGCTCTCGATCAGCTCATGGAGCTCCACGATGAAGAGATCTGATTGACAGAGTTTTCACAGGTTGTTACCATGGTGATCTACCTCAGTAAGACGTGAACCACCTTCGTATTCCTGAAAGAGTTAACCCTGATGTCACCTGGATATCGTCTGCTTTGTAAGATACCCCACACTCACATGTCTGGTGAAGAAATCATCCACCTCCTCCTGCACTCTGCTTTGACATTCAGGGTGGAGGGCGAGGAGGTAGCAGGTGAAGGCCAACGTGTTGCTGCTGGTTTCGTATCCTGCGAGAAGGAAAACGAACGCCTGACCCACGATCTCGTCCTCAGTGATCATCTTTCTCTGCTGGCGTCTGCTGGGGGGCTCCTGCGGGCCGACGTCCTGATCCGGAGCGGACGCCTGCGACCGCTGGTTCCTGTGATCGAGCTCATCCGAGTGGTTCAATGTGTCAAAGTGTTCCAGAGACACACTGTCCTTGGTTGTTCGGGCATCCAACATCAGCTGGAGGAAGTCTCGACGCCTCTGCATGCAAAGATATCAATCGAGAAGGTCGTCATAATGTTCGATACTTTTCAATACCACATATTTTAAAACGACACAATCCCCGTTATCTGAATGATCGATAGTATCGACAAGTACCAAAACGTCAGATCTTCAGTCATATTGTTCACCAAAAGCTGCGGTGAGAAAAAGACAGAGAGCAGTGCCTAAATCTTACTGAAACGTTGCTAAGGTATTTGTTAAGGTATTCAGACAGGTTGCAGGAGTTTGCTTGAGGTTTTTGTTCATTTAAAAAAAAAAAAAAACCTTGCCGTGGTATCAATATCATTGGATACCAGTGGTGTTTTACCAGTATCAACTCTTAGTTTAAAATTCTGGTATTGTGACAACCCTATAAATCAATAAATGAATTTAAAACACCACAGTGTAAATCACTTTTTTTTTTAAATCAACCTGTTCAGGAGGCTGCTCCTCTCTCTGCTCGATGATCCTCTGGATGCAGTTGATGAAGAAGTTATTCATCTTGTCTCGTCGTTTGTTGGGGATGAGTCCGGCCAGCGGAGCCGCGATGAACGGAAAAGCAACTGGACACACAAAGAGACGTTTTTGCTGTAACTCTACATGAAACGCCAACTTTTACACTCAGACAGGCCTGTGCAATAATTACATGTAAGCAGACAAGCAGTCATGATAACGATGGTGGGGCGTCGATGGCCTAGCGGTTATGTCGTGTGCCCCATGTGCAGAGGCTGTGCTTCTCGTCACAGCAAGTCACATACACACCCATTCCAAAAATTCTGATTTTACTCGCCAACATTTCTATATAAAAGCCTCAAAAAGGTAAAAATCACTGTTTACATAAAAGACAAAACAAAAAGATAGGACTCACTGAAGAACATCATGATGGGCCGGAAGAAAGAAAAGGTGAAGAACATCTGCGCGTGGCTGACAAACGGGTCGTCTGGGTTGTTCTGAGAGTCCACCTGAGTAGCGAACGCCACACTGGCTATAACATCCATGGTGAAGCAGCCGAAACACCTGCAGGACCACACAGAGTATGAGGACTCCAGGATGGAAAGAGACATTCTGTATTCTGTTCAACTCTACTTCTTCGATGTGTGATTACTTGTGGATGTCAAACGCCTCTCCGGACTCAGCATGGACATTTAAGTTGTTGGTCAGGGCGTCGATGGCGGTGTTGATCAACGGGACCATCTACAGAGAAACAAAGAAGACAGTGACACGATACCATCTACCGTGCTACGTAGACAGTGAGCAGGAGTTTGCTTGCAATTTGTATCAATTAAAAACAAGAAATTAACCAATACTGGGTGACTAGGAGCAATATTTTTGTCGCCATGGTAATGAAACAGGTATGGATGGTTTGGTTTTCACCGTTATCATTAAATTCTGGTATCATGAGGCTCTAGTAGTGGTGATTAAGAGGGCTGCTGTATAATTCACAGCCAGCAGATGGCACCGTTTCAGAGTTTGACAGCTCAAAATCTTTGACTAATAGAAAGAAAGCCCCAAAGCTTTGTAAGACTTCATCTGCCAATCACTTAAACATTGTTTGTATTAAAGTTAAGAATTAAAATATCTAACACCTGTTATGTAATACATTTTATTAATCTGCTTTCCTTTTTTAAAAGATACATTTTTGGGCCTTTTATGCCTTTATTGTAGAGACAGGACAGTGGATAGAGTCAGAAATCGGGAAGAGAGAGAGAGAGAGAGTGGGGAATGACATGCAGGGAAGGAGCCACAAGTCGGATTCAAAGCCAGGCCACTCACTTTGAGGACAACAGGCCCTGAACAAGGGGAGCACGAGCTAACCACTAGACCACGGGCATACCTTAATCAGCTTTTCTTATTGGTGAATTTAAAATCTCTATTTATTTTTTGCTAATTATGGAAGGAATGTGTATCTCTGACACCTAGTGTTTAAAATGGGTACTGCAGAACACATTCTAAACATTGTAGAGAGCTGTCTCCCCCCGCCCCTAGAGTCCATGCTCACGCAGGTCACCATGTGGTGGACACTGAAGCTTCAGTGTTTATCCAGCTCTGCATGTGTCTGTAAACCTTTCTGTGTTCTAACCTCTCTCCATTTTTCAAAAACATCTCCAATATTGATCCTAGTTTGAGCACTTTTCTGCTCGTGGAGCTTATTAGAAACATGCAGAGGCTTTTTAGGTCGGGTACAATCACTTCTATCTGAACCACTTCTCTTGACCGCTTCCATCACTGCAACACCTGTTGACCTGATAACTGCTCTCATATCTGACAAACCGAGGGGCGTCCAAATGGCCATGTGGGGGGTGTCTTAAAACCGCCTACCTTCTCTGGTCCAAACAAATCCAGAGCATTCAGGACCAGAATCTAAAGTTAGAAGGAGGACATACTGGCTGCTGCATTGTTGTCAGAGACAACATAGCATGTTTCCTTAATGTCTGATCATATAGTAAGGTCACTTTATCATTTCACTCACTACACAGCTTACTGATTGGACCTTTAATTCTAGCAGATTTAAATTGGCACACAATCAATCTGCTCTTTCATATCTTACCTCTTTCATCTTAGCAGCACTGAATGACGGCGTCAGGATGCTACGAACTCTCTTCCAGCGCTCGTCCCTCAACATGAGCAGACAGTCCGTCATGGGTTTGGTGGCAAACCGAAAAGACTGTACAGAATGAACAAAGACAAACCGGCACACACGTCTCTTATCATAGTATTACTCTTAAAAACAAACTAGAATAATGAGTAAGCATATAGTGAACATGTGTGTGTTTCTGTGAAAGCCCTCACCATTCTGTTTGGGAAGGTGCTGAATTCTCGTACCATCACCTGCCTGAGCATGTCGGGGTCCGCGATCACCACCACCGGTCTGCGGCCCAAATAATACCTGAGAGTATATCAAACGACAACTTTAATATTTACTGATGAAGGTATTCACCAGGCAGGTTTTCAGCTGATGTTACAAACCTTTTTTTTTAAATGTAGTCAGTTTTTATTTTACTCACCCACAGACTCTGCCGTGTGTCTTTATGAGATCCTTCATAGGCTGGAAAAATCCCTGAGAGGACAACATGAGAAGAGACTAAACACAACACAATCGCATCCTAACATGAAGCACATTGTAAAACCTTTGCGTCAATCCTTAGTTTATATTTGTGCATGTTTCTAGCAGGAAGTGTGAAAGGGAAGTTTGTGTTTAGCCTTCTGTCTGTGTGTGTCTTGTGTCCCTGCAGGTCACTGGTGCGTGGGGTTCTGCTGCACCTGGGCAGTCATGGCCAGTCTCCCAGTTGCAGGCTATTTAAGCCTGACAACTTCTTGCATACATCCTGAGCATCACCACAGCCCCGGGCTTGCACCATATGTTTATATTTTTGTGGTATCTTGTCGGTATTTTGTGGCAATAAACCCTACATCATTCTTTAAAACATTTCTTGTATTTTGTCAGGCTTTAAGAGCCGGGGTCGTGACAGTGTTGTGAGGGATCTCCCAGAATTCCTTCCTAGTAATTTTGACACATCTGTTTACATAAATACCCTTCATGACTACTAATGACGTATCAGAGTCAATCTTATAATAATAGCTTGAATTTAAATCGCGCCTGTCAACGGGCCCTTCACGTGCAAACACATTAACTGGACAACACAGTTAACTAAGTCCAAAGGCTGAGCTGAACAGGTGAGTTTTCAATAGGTTTTTGGATATGTCCAAGGATGTAGCACTGCGGATAACTGCTGGGAGAGTGTTCCAGAGTTAGGGGGAAAAGTCCTCAGGGTGGTGTGGAAAATGGAGAGTGTCAGAGGATCGGATGGGGAGGGTTGGAGGAGCTCAGAAAAGTACTGGGGTGAAAGGCAGTGCAGAGATTTTTAGGTGAGGAAGAGGCTTGAAGGGTGGTCTCATTTTGTCGGGGGAGATTTCCCCACTACCACTAACTCTGTTCTGAAGGGCAAAAGGGAACTCACAAACGAGAGGAAGGGGTAAAGATTACAACTGGGACTAAACCAAAGAAAAGGAAGTAAGAGGCGAAGGGGTTTAACACGGTTTAATGGAAAAATCAGGAATATCTTACCTGTCGAAACAGGAAAAGGTTGCCATAGAAAGGCACAGGCTTTGGATGTTTGATGCCACATCGAGAGAGGACGGAAAAGGGGTAAATTGAATACCTAGAAGTCAGAGCACAGAGCTGAGCTGATGAGTGATGTAATGAAAATCATGAAAGCATATACAGTCAAGAAGACAATCACACGGAGGAATATTAACTAATTGTCCAATCATGATTTGAACCAAACAGGGATGTTGTTCAATCTCACATTTGAAGTGTCAGGGTAAAAATTCTGCATGAAAAACTTGGTTTAGAGACTGAATCCTCTGCAGGATGTGTGCAGTTGATTGATGAATCAATGCACTCTGCTAAAAAAATCAGTGACATCACTGTTAATAAACGATGTTTTAGGAACTCTCTGTTGCTGTCAAGAAAGCGGACACACTAGGTTATACTTTAAGCATTAAAAGAGGCACTGAACGCAGCGAAAACCATGACATCAATGTTGAATCTGTTTGTTTTCTCAATTAACGGAAAACACACTGTTAAGAAAAATCCTGCCGGTGTCCTGGAGAGACCATGGGGATGTAGTAGGTGAGTGCACAGGGTGGGATGTGCTCTAATTTAACACTCTTTTTTTCACGTTCAGGAAATATCGCATCATTGTCCCATATTTATTTTTGTACAGCGCTCACGTAAAGAGGAATCAAAGCTGCTCAGACAAACACTGTGTAAAGCTTTTCAAGGAGTTTACTTGCAGATTTAATACCTGCAAACCTTATATAAGGAAATAACTCGTGATAGGTCATAACAAAAGAACATAGCAAAGAAATCCCAGAATATGAACTCAGTCTTACACCCTAGAAGCCGTACAAATCTACCCGACTGCACATTTGTTTCCCGGCTGGAATATTTATCCTGAAAGAGTTTCCTCATGAATACACTCAGAAAGTCCAACATGCAAACATCAGATCTTGTTAATGAGGAGTGCGGTGCATAAACTGACCACACCAGCTGCAGCATCACAAACAAACGAACCAACAAACAGGTATCTAATGAATAAACTCACCAGTAGAGAAGACCCAGAAAGACGAGTAAGAGGCTGACCGTCACAGACCATCCACTGGCCTTAATGTGAAAAACATTTAGGAGGTCAACTATGGACTCCATGATGTTAAAACTCCTCTCAGTTCTCTGCTGCAGCTATTAAATGAAGTCCTCTGCCGGAAAAAAGGAGAACAGAAAATGTCAGGTCGTCGCAAAAGCTGCTGAATGTGTGTTAACGACACACAACTTTGCTACAGACAAATTCAAACCAAAGACAAAAACCTCTTCATCAGCATTTCTTTGAATTCACACTCCAGCATTAGACCATCTACTAAATGTTAAAAAGTATGACCTACTTTTAAAAAGGAAAATCAAGCACTTAAGTGTTTTCCTCACATGACAGGTACAGTAAATCCTTTACCACTTCTTAGACTTTGCTCTCTTTTATTTGTCTCCTGTGGCTCAGTCGGTTTCAAAAGCAACATGTTAATTATTTGTTTTTAGCGTATTTGTCTAAAGCCTGGAGGATGCTCTGCTCACCTTTCCCCAGCATTGTGTGACATATGTAGTGGGGTGTTACGGTTTAACTTGTGACCATGTTAACTGGCGACTTCCGCCCGAACGCGTCTATGGTTGTCGTGGTAACAACATTACAGACGTCTATTTTGACCATATTTTGACAAGGCAATATTAAACCTTGTCACAGAGGTATTTGAAAGGGCTCTTTCCCTTTTCAACAGCGCTTGTAACCATGACAACCGCAGACACATTGGTCAAGATGTCTCCAACTAACAGGGTCACAAGTTAAACCTTAACACCCATCAATTCGCACTCTCACTTTCTGCGTTTGGAGCTTATAAACACGTCAACGTTATATAGAAAAAGCCTTCAGAATATACCATTAAGCATCCACACAATGTTTGTTTTAGTTGTGACACAGTCTTAAAAAAACGCTGAACTCGTTGTGTAACTCAGGTCATGTGTGATGCTAGGCTACTTAGCGACAGCCAAATATCTCAGATAACAAGTTTATAACTGAACCTTACAGTAGGCAGGACTTCAAGTATCATTGTATAACACTAATATGTGGAGAACATCACTCCTATTATATTTAAACTTCAGATTAAACATATTTTCTGTCAACATACCTCTTCTTCATTGACCTACGCTCTCTTATCGCTTGTAAATAAAAGTCTTCTTCGTCTTTGCAACGACTCGCAGCTCAACAGAAAGGTGAGCTCCACACTGCCACCCACTGTTCAGGACATATATCACCACAACCCAAAGGCCATTATACTAACCGAATATCAGAAATGAGGGCTAAACCATAAACACTAAGCTGGATAACTTACATCTAACCATGTAGACAATGCTTTTATTCCAAATTAAGAATATATTATAATATTTTTATCTATACACATAAAGTTAGGAAGGGAGGCACAACTCGGCATGTCACGTGAAGAGCCGACACTCTACGAACGCTTACGAACTCTGGTTTCCTAGCAACCAGAGTGTTTGTAATGTAATCTAGGTGTGGGATAACTTTCAGCAGGCGTCCTTAATCAAACGTCGCGTACAAAATATTTAAAGTCATCATGCTGAACACTGAGATATTGTCAGACCGCGTCGCGAAGGCAAATCTGCAGAAACGACGAGACGATGAAAGCGAGAGACGAGAGAGGATATTTAACCACAAAGTGCGGACTATCGGGGTAAGATCACTCACTGCTACAGACCAACCTTTAGTTAACACAACACAGGATAGTAATAAAAAGGACTGGGCCTTAAAACGGGATGAGCTTTTATTTAAGTTTATGGGGAGGCTATGGAGTCACAGATAAAATAATTTGGTAGGATTAAAAATCAATCTGTGACAACAAAATAAAAAATAGTTGTCTATAATCGTTCACCATTAATGACAGACCCACAGCAATTCTCGAAAACAAATTTGTGTATATATGTTGTATATTAAAGTTTTATTTTAGCTTGATGTCATATTTCTGTATTTATTGTTTTTGTTTACACACTGTTCTGTGTCACCTTTGTGTTTTCATACAGGTTGACAAGGAAGCCCTGGACCTGCAGATTAAAGAGAAGAAGACTCAAGAGAAGGCTGAAAAGGAGCAACAAGATGCTCAAGGTGAGCTCCTTAAACTTTGTGACCCAGGGAGGACCAGATTTCAAACTGATAGTAAAGTGGATGTAGCCACACGTGAGGTTGATCATTCTTAAACAGAGCCAACATGTTCAGTACATTTTGATGGGTATGCACAGTCATGATTTCTAATGTCTTCTCCATCCAGATGCTGATCTGCTGCATAACAGCAAAGTAGCTTGTCTTCTCCACAACAGACAAATGAAGGGGAGGCAAGCAGTGGAAAAAGACATCGTCAGTTACCGGCGTCAGTACCAGCAACCTCAGAGAGAGCGGGAAAACGACCTGAACGACCCAGACTGTAAGGACGCAGAGACGGGTGAGGCGCAGATGATGCTCCAAGGCCTGGTGGGCGAGGATCTGGACAGCGAGAGCAGACGGCAGAGACAGAAGGAGCAGCTCAGAGGATGGCTCATGCAGCAGCAGAGCGAACGAGCATCAGCACAACAGCAACGCAAGCTGGAAGGTAGAGCCCTCACAGGAGTCAGAGTTCACACACATGAAGCACAATCTCACTTACTTTTATCAGACGTTAAGGGTTCAAGTCCCTGAAGAATTTAAAGAGTTAAGGAGCAATATGTAACTCTGACACCTAGTGTTTAAAATGGGTACTCCAGTCCAAATCCAAAACATTGTAGAGAGCTGTCTCCCCCCCGCCCCCTCCTCTCTAGAGTCCATGCTCACACAGGTCACCATGTTGTGGACACTGAAGCTTCAGTGTTTATCCAGCTCTGCATGGGTCTGTAAACCTTTCTGTGTTCTAACCTCTCTCCATTTTTCAAAAACATCTCCAATATTGATCCTAGTTTGAGCACGTTTCTGCTCGTGGAGCTTATTAGAAACATGCAGAGGCTTTTTAGGTCGGGTACAATCACTTCTATCTGAACCACTTCTCTTGACCGCTTCCATCACTGCAACACCTGTTGGTTTGACCTGATAACTGCTCTCATATCTGGTAAACTGAGGGGCGTCCAAAACAGGCCGTGTGTGGGTGCCTTAAAACCGCCTACCTTCTCTGGTCCAAACAAATCCAGAGCATTCAGGACCAGAATCTAAAGTTAGAAGGAGGACATACTGACTGCTGCATTGTTGTCAGAGAAGCCACAGTGTAAAGCACTCTGAGTGGCTCTAAGTATGATCGGTGATCTATGAATAAACTTGACTCGCATGTCTTCGGTCCTTCAGGGCAGCGCTACGACCAGAGCAGAGTAGAGATGGACATCAGAGCTCTGCAACTTCACAGCATCGACAGTGAGAGGAGGAAAGCTGCAGCTGTGGCCACTAAGGAGTTCAACTTGGCCAAGGTACAGACAGATGTAAAGCTAACAAACCCTGAGATGCATTCATGTTCCTGCCTTTTAAAATCAATTGAACTGCTTGTATTTGGCAGGATAGTGGATAGATGTAGAGATCAGGATGAGAGAGAGTGAGGAATGACATGCAGGAAAAGAGCCGCCTGCTTGAAGTTTGTAGCCTCCGGACATGAGGCTCAATTTAACTGCATCTAGAGCCCCAAACTGAACCGCTTTTTTGGGCGACATATCAGCTGAGCGGTTAGATCGTGTGCCCCATGTACAGAGGGCTGAGTCCTCGCTGCCGTTCCGGTTTCATATCTGATCCTTGACCTTGACATTTGCAGCGTGTCTTTCCCGTCTGCTCTCAATAGTTCTCACTCTTGCCAAGGGTTGTCACCAGATAACAGAATTTTTAAACTTAGATATGAAACTATTAAAAAACTGTTTTTAAACCACGGCAACAACAATAGAAGTCTTAGACACCCAATAATGGGTCATTTCTTTTTAATTTCAGGCAAACTGCACACTATTGCAATGTTTTGGTACCCTAAGATTGTGTGTGTGCAATTTAGACAGTGCCCTCTCTCTCTCTTTCTCTTACAGCAACTTTTGATTAAAAATTAGTGAAGTGGCGCCAGATAGCCTCGCTGTTTATGTTGTGTTGTGTATGGCGGCTACAGTCCTCGTCACATCGGGCTGTGGGTTAGAATCCGAACCTCGGGTGTACATGGGGCGTGCTGCATGTCAACCCCCACACTCTGCTCCCATCATTTCCTGTCTCTATTCAGCTCTCTCCATTTATATAAGGCAAAAGTCTCAAAAGTATTAAGTTATTCAAAACTATAAATCTAAAGTTTTTAAAACCGGCAGTAAATTATCAGAGACGTTATCGTTTTGAAAACATGCATTATTAAGAATTTTGACAACCTTTATCTCTGCTGTCCTTTTTTTAAAATAAGGGCAAAAAATGCCCAAAGAGAGGGAAGAGTAGAGGACACTTTTGTACCCTAAACTTTGTGTAAAGTGCAGTTGTTCAGTAAAACCATTTCTATCATACTCCCTCCTTTCGCGGCGTCTGGACGGTCAAAGATTGAAGAGGAGCGCCGTCAGAAAGCGGATCATAAAGAGGAAGACGATCAAGCTTCCACCACCAACCACCTGCAGGGTGAGCTGATGTGTGAAGACGCCCCACATACCCCGAGAATCATGGTACTGCCAGGTCTCTGTCCCAGCAGTGACAGGAGGGTCCCTTCAGAGAGCCAGCAGCAGGTCATCCAGTTCCAGAAATATCAAATTGAGGAGAAAAAGGTGAAACAGCAGGGACGACTGAAACGACTGAAGATATTCTGTGTTATTAAACCTAACCCTTAAAGAACAAGTGTGTGTGTGTGTGTGTGTGTGTGTGTGTGTGTGTCTGTAGAGGATTGATCTGGAGGAGAGAAACGAAGAGGAGCAACACGAACGAGTGCGTCTGGACTCGGCTCGTTCGGCTCTGCTCCTCGAGCGGCAGCAGGCGAGACTGAACAAGCAGCTGAGACGACACCTGGACAACACCAACCTTCGACTGGCCGAAACACACAAACAACAGTCAGTATGGTTCATGTCTTAATTCACTAAGAATAAACATAAAGCCTGTTATTTGTCTCACTGTGTGTCTGAACTGGTTTCATTCGAAGGAAACCAGACATTGAGAAAGGATGCATCGACGACAGCTTCTTCTCCCAGTTCAACACCTGCAGCAGGTGATGGACGACGAGCAGCACCGACGACCTGATGCTCCCGATTAAAGAGCGACATGACAAGAACAATGAAGACAATGAAGACACTGACAAACACTGAAAACGATCTGTTGATTTATTGTCATATTTAAGTTCGGCAGTTGGAAATTTTGTTTTCATCTTTATTTCAAATTCACTTTAAAATATTATGCATGAATTATTGTAAAGGCTCAAATAAACTTGCTTTTGAACCTTGCCTACGACGTGTAGACAACCAGCTGCATCGTGAACGTAAATGTTCAAATACTTGCCTCTGTACAACATGTGTTACTGGAGGATTCCTCTAGAGGGAGCACCACATTCATCAGATGGTGTAAAACACAGAGGTAGAGATGATCTGTCGCCGGCTAATTTGGCACACGTTTGTGCAACAACACATCATAGTGTGGGTAGTTACGGACTTGATCTATAAACTTTTCTTCCACATTTTCCACCATTGTCGTAGCGGCTCTCTGGTGTCTCGATGTGATCATTTCCAGTCTCATCATCGTACAACTCAACAATGCCCCTAGTGGTTATATGCATATTGCATCTCGCAGTGTTAATTTCTGAGGACTTGCAGAAACCTGATGTCACACGTACGTTAAAGGAAAGTATACTCAGGGCTTCAGGTAGGTTTCTTATGATTACATGAAATGTGAGCAAAGGTCAACTCTGCACCTATAAATAACGGAGAGCCAAAAATAAATCCCAAAAACTTGCATTCAAGAAAAAAGATTTTAAAAACTAAACAATGATTTAAAAACTGCCCACTGCATCCAACACAATTTATAAACACACACACACATACACAGAGATAACAATCCTGCCTGGCTCTGTAACTACATGTCTCACGGCCTAATTCACAAAAGGATGGCGCCGCTCTCACCGGCACAATACAGGGAGGATGCTTCGTTTTAAACGGAGAAAAAAGTATATCGATAAAAACTAGACTGCACAACAAAATGTAGAAAGTGTCCCCTCCCCCGCAGCTCAGCATCTTTGAGATCTGCACGCCGAGAGAGGAGCAGCTGACGACGCCACAATCAACAAACTTTAAGGTTGTTTATGTTCTTGAATATCATGAGAGCAACATAATTTGCGAATTAGACCTTGAGATGGAGCAGATAGCGAGCGAAATTCATGAAGCTGCTAGCGACCAAAAACATTCTTAGTGAATTCTCCCCTCAAAGTGCAAAGTCATGAGAAGTCAAATCCTCACTCTGCATCTTACGGCCCAACGCTCAGGCATGTTTCACGCTGCTCAGTATAACCAATGGATACCATCAGCTCCATTTTAAGGCGACTTGGACGTAAGGAGTTTTTTACAGCAGATGTCAGAAAAGGAAAGACACTTTTCCCTCTCATGTTCAGCATGGTGGCGTTTAAAGATGGCGGCTGTTTCCTCCTAACGAGTATTTTCGGAGATGAACTTATCCCATCTTCTCTGCCACAGAGCCAGGGCCTTCTCCTGCTGCGGTGGACTCAAAGAGCTGTACCTGAAACACACACAGGGACACGTCAGTCGGCGTACTTCAGCTGTGGTTTTAAAAACTTCCTCTCCTGTCATCTCTGCTGAGCCTCACCTTATCGAGTTCATGGCCAGCTGTTTCAGGGTGCCTAAATGTGAACTCAAGCCGCCGAATCCAACGAAAGCTTCATAGAAGTCGTGAGAGAGTCCAGAGGAGCCGAACATGGCGGGGTCGTCGGAGCTGATGACCATAGGATGGTCCTCTGACATCAGTGCAGCCGCAGGATGGTTTCGAAGGTCTTTGACAAGTTTTGTCACCTGAACGAGGAGAACAGGAGACAAAATGATGAACTCAATTACAGCCTCGTTGCTCCAGAAGATTCAAAGTATTCAACATCCATCCATCATCTGTACCGCCCTTCCAGTTCAGGGTCTAAATTGCACAAATACGTTGGCAACATTTGAGTATCGGGGCGTTGCCAACATATTTGTACAACTAACGCAATGAGCCGGAATTTGGCTGCAGTTTCTAGTAATTAAAAATAAGATATCACCCAATTTTTGGGAAGCTAGGACTCCTGTTTTTGTTGCCTTGTTTTTAAAACAGGTATTGATATCGTTTGATTTTGACTCGTATCATATCAAAGTTTAAAACCCTGGTATCATGATCACTCTAGTTAACGTGTGGATTTAGTATTTAACCGGTTTATGTAACAGGACCATACTAATAAAGACCATGTTGTACCTGGTTGGAGATGGGGCACACTTCCACAGCCACCCCTCTCTTCCTGGACATATCTCTGGCCACCGGGTGGCGCAGCAGAGCAAACCCATGCCCGATACGAGAAGTGTTAAACAGAAGGGCGTCCAGCAGGTTCTGGTCCACGTCTGTGCCCTCCAGATCTACACGAGGTGGAGAGGAGAGACCGTGTGTTATTATGGGATGTCTGAGAAACAAAGGGAGTGATGGTTGTCGTTTCTTCTTTAAGCTTCTGATAAATAAAAACGCCAACATTGATCGTTTCCTTCCCTCAAAACTCTTTAACAAAAAGGACCTTTAAGACCAACAGTGTATCTTTGATGAGTTTAAAGCGCCCCCTTGTGGATAATAACGGAACAACAATCTTAATTTCACATGTTTGTGTTTATATGTTGCTGTTGTTGTTGCACTTTGACTCTTTAAAGTATTCTACATGCAAGTAACCAGCTTCTTCTGTTACACATAATTATTAGACAGAGATGATTTGTTGACTTCATCTGTTTAAAAGCATATAGACCAATCAGACTCACTCTGGTATCTAATGTGTAAAAAAAGTGACCAGTAAAACCATTGTTTTCCTCTGGTAACCTACAGCGCGCTTGATGGGCGCTCTTCTCTGCTGCTCCGCAAACACATTTTCCTAGCAGTGTTTGGGCGCCACAAAAGTTAAAAGATGTTCAACTTTCCATCTCAAGACGTCTGCATCGCTCGTCAATTTCACCATTGGCCGAAGCAGTTAATCAAATCAAGTAGGAGGCTTTTCCCTCCCTCCTAGTCGAGGAACAAAGGAACGGACGAAGGCTCTATGTTTGCTCAAATTCATTTTTCCTACTTATTTTATTTAGTCGCCTGTATGCACATGCAGCCCCTCACCACAGGCGCTCACAGCTGTTTGTTTTTTTTAACCCTAGCAACCTGTCTCTGTGTGATGGTGCCCTAACACTGCTTCTGTACAAACTAAAAGAGGAGTTACACATCGGTCACGGCTGAGCTCACCCGTCTCTCCAGCGTGGAAAAAGAAAGGCAGCGTCACTCCTCTCTCTGCCGGCAGTGACAACGCCTCTCTGAAGAACCACAGGGGTCTGCCACTGTCCTCCCGGCCCACCTGAGCAGGTAGAGAGAAAGTTCTTCAACATTTTATGTTATGACATTTTTAAGTTGGACACACACAGAGCAACCAGCAGAGAGCTTCTTAGTTACTGCTTTATAAACAGGAGGATTGAGGGTGTGATATCATGTTGTTACTGAAATAGAACACCTGTCAGTACAAACAGCTCTGTTGGTTTTGAAAACTGTAAATAAAAAAATCCTCTCACCATGTCGAAACCAGCCATGAAGTCGGGGAAGTCTCTCTGTAGCTTCATAGCCTCCTCCACCGCTCGGACCATCACGGACAAATTTACTCCCCTGAAACGCAGCATGTGATGGCATCATCGTCACTTTGATTTATTTATCACAGGGCCACACGGTTAGGGCTGCATGGTGGTGAAGTGGTGAGCACTGTTGCCTCCCAGCGAGGAGCCTCCTCGTTCTAAACCCCAACGGAGCCTTTCTGTGGCCGCACATAAAAGGCGAGAGCGCTCGGAAAGAGAAATTGGGCGCGGGTGCTTTTTCTCCAGGCGGCCGCTTTCTGCTGCGAACGCTCTCTACTCTAAACAATTTCAAAAAGACGCTGGTGCTCAGAAGAAAACAAAACGCTAGGCGGACACAAACAGCAGCACTCTGACGGATTCTGTCATTACAGGAATCTGTTCATGAAGAAGTAAAAGCATCATCAACAAGCAGTATGCACTTCAGACTGACTCACCTGTTGATCGTGAAGATGATCCTCGCTCCAAAGAAGTCCGGGTGCTGGTCTGTGAACCGTGTGGTCACCTCCTGGTAGGTCTTCAGAGTGAACGCAGTGTCATGAAAGCTCCCGTCCAGCTCGTATATCTGAGAACAACAAAGACAAACATTTTTCATGAAGGTTTCATGAACAGAGCAGCGAGTGAACTCAGACAGGTGTGACACTTCTCTACCTCGGGGAGTAAAGCTCGCAGCTCCAGGTACATGACGTTGTCGGCGTAGAACTGCGTGAGGCCTTCGTGGTAGTAGTCTCTGAACACAGGCGCGTACGTGACCAGACCCCACAACGCCAGGAAGCCCTGTTCAAACCGGTCCCAGACCACGTCCTGGCTGGGGTACACGGACTCTGGATCCTGGTGGGTGAAGAGGGTCAGGTTGCCCTCGATGCTGAGAGAGTGAGAACGTAGATATGAATGTGATCAATTTGATTTACTACCAGACCCGTTCACTTCTATAATCTGTCTACACACATGATATTCTAATAAAGAGTCAAAGATCGACGGCGTCCTCACGATGATGACAGACATGAGACCAAAGTCTGTGAGCGGCTGTGGATCAGTGGTAGAGTCGGTCGTCTCCTAACCGGAAGGTTGGGGGTTAGATCCCCAGCTCCTGCAGCCACATGTCCGATGTGTCCATGGGTAAGACACTTAACCCCAAATTGCTCCCGCTGCTTCATCGGCGGCGGCATGTGAATGGATGAGTTAACACTGATGGACTCTACCCACAGCAGCCTCTACCATCAGGGTGTGAATGTGTAGGTGTGACCAGCGGTGTAAAAGAGCTTTGAAATATACAAGCTCAAGTCCCCTACTCAGCGAGTGAGCGAGTACTGTCTGAAATGTTTTTTAATGAGTGCACGATATAGTCCACTACATAAACTCACTTTATAGTGAGGAGGGGACGAGGGAGTGATTTCAGATTCTACCCTCTGTCCTATCTCTGATCTCTCTTGATCTCAGGTACCAGCTCTGACACTTTGTATTAAAGTATCACTCGCCCACCTGTTGTCCAGGTCTGTGACGTTGACCGTCTTGGCCCGGAGGTTTTCCAGCAGCGTCCAGGCAGAGCAGCGCGGCAGAGCTTTGGGCCATCGGGACGAGAAGATGAATCTGATGGAGCGGTTGTCGGTGCAGCACATGTAGCAGTTTGGACGATAGGTCACGTTTTTCACCAACCAATCAACAGAAACCATAGAGAGGTCATGGACATGGAGAGCTCCCCCTGGAGGACAGAATAAGGAATAAATGAACGGGATACTTCTTCATCTCCACATACACACACGCTGCTGTCGGCCAGCGCCACGTGTAAACAACATGTTGCTTTGTCTTTCTGAGGATGATTCATTGTACATTCGGTGACTGCTTTGATATAATGTTGATAAAGTGATGGAACATAATCGTGAGTCGGTATGATGTGTTTTATTTTGAAACTGAGCGGACGCTCTATGCGTGTTCTCGCCTGACTTCGTGTCCGGGTCGATATATTCTGTCCAGCTTGACGTGCCTGCAGCGTCAAAAATAGTCTCACAGTGTCTTTGAAATGGATCAGATGTGGAAACAGGAGCATTGACTAGAGTGCAGGGTTTACTGTAAAAATGTCCTGAATGTTTGTTATTTCACGTGTGTTTATCAGTCAAGAACACGGCAACACTGTGACTTCTTTTATGAAAGTTATGACCTTTTTGATTCTATCATTCAGAAGCTTGTTTCTCTTCTCTCTGTTAAGTTTCTGTTAAATGTTAAACATTGTACGCACACGTTGTTTATGCATATATGAACATATTTAAGTTTGTCTTTTGGCCAAAACAAATCACTGTCTTGAATTCTTTTACTTATTTTATTTACTTTTCTTTTCCCTGTACAAAGGGCAGGTTTACACTTCTTCCTGCACCTTTTCGTTCTTTGTATCGGCCAAAGAGAAAAGAATGGACGCCTCTACACGGTACTGCTTCAACAGAACAAAATTAAACAAATGAAATGTAAAAGTACGGACGCTTTAAGAGAATCTACAGATCTTGAGACTGCCTCTAGCAAAACAGAGAAAGTCGAACTTGCACAAATACGTTTGCAACATATAACATGCCATCTTGCAGATGACATGTGTGCAGAGGCGCCGCTTGTCAACATGCAAGGCGGGCAACTGCTTGGGGCCCCAGGCCAATAAGGGGCCCTTGAAGGCTGACAAATTCAAAACAGCAGCACTCACTGTCATTACGCCTACAGACACTCGCCCTGCTTAGCGTCTTTTACATTATTCCTGCGATGACCAAAGTTCGTCAAAAAATGAAGAGGAATTATCTGTCTGTGAGTGAAAAAAGAAAGAGCATCGGGACACTGGCCGACATAACGGTGGTTGAAGGGGCCCCCAATTAAATTTGCCTAGGGCCCCAACAGACTCTAGAATCACCACTGCACATGTGAGCCATTCAGGCAGAGTGCAGGGGATTTACAAACAAACTGAACCAATACATGCGTGCCATGATGTGACTCTGCACGCACCTTTGGGCATCTTTTGCATCAGGCTGAAGATGGGGCTGCTATCGATGAGGTGCCTGGCCTGGAAGAAGTGCATTGAGGGAGGGAAGTCTGCTTTCCTGATCTCCTCCTGCTTCATTTTGAACAGCAGAGCATCCAGACGCTGCTCAGCATCTGTCAGAACCACCTGTCCACCTGTCTGCATCGAGGCCTCCAGCTTCATCAGGGCCTCTCTCTGCCGGGGGTCAGGGACTGACAGGCCGCTCCTCAAGAAGTAGAGGAGCAGACAGAGGACGGCCACGAGGGGGCGCTGTGGTGACACTGCCATGGTTTAAATGCAGTGTGCTGCTGTAAAGAGAAACAGGTGAAACGTAAACATGAAAACGGAAAATGGCTTTTATGTCGAGAAGTATCGGAGGTGTTGACAACCGTAATGGTAGGCTAGTATACTGCCCATTCAGAGTGTAAAATCTTACCTAATCTCGTCGTTTGTTTACGGCCAGTCAGAGAGAAAGGGTCCGTGTAGCTGGTGCTGTTAGGAGTCACTTTAAAACAGCGCACTACAAACGGAACGGACTCACAGGGGCCTCAAGAATCTCCTTTCTGTCAAACAGCGTGATTTTAAATCCAATTTCTCGGAGCGAAGACGCAAACAAAGACCAGTAAACGTAAAGCTAACGACGGGGTTGTTTACTAAATCTTATCGCCTGGTGTAGTTCTCCCTGTGCAAATGCTGCGTTCAGGTGCTGCTCGGGTGGTCCAAGTTTCCGAGTTGTGAAGTCGTTCTTCCGACTTCAGTTTGTTCACGTTATTTAAGTTCTGAAAGTCTGAATGTTGTAACAACAGCACAGAAAGACTGTGAACTTATATTTGTGCAGAAAGTTAATGTGTAATACGTGAATTAATAAAACGTATGTTAACATTAACAAAACATATGTTGCCCCTCATTTGATGACGATTCTGACGTCAAGTCGGGAAGTCGGGCAGCTTAATTCTTGGCCGAGTTTCCGAGTTGTTGTTCCGACTTGAGCAGGTGTTCATGTCGTTCTTGTGCATTTTACAACTGGGAATCTCGTTTTTCCGATGTGTCCGACACCACATGAATGCACCAACAGTCTGTCAGGCTGACGTTCTATCAACTGCGTTCTAATCCCACCCCCCGAAACTCTGATTGGCCGATACTTAAACCCCGTAACCATTTGATTGGAGGAGAGTGTAAACAATAATCTGTGAGACCCAGATCTGGGAATAAAACTCCCAGAGTACAAAGTGCATTCTGTCAAGGTAGATAATTTCTTTACGGATTGTTTTTGGTTTTATTTGGCTAATTTGATCACAAATGAAAGTTTAACCGTAAAAATACTCATCTTGAGCATTAGTGTTTATACTTCATTTGAATGATATTTGTAGAGTATGTTGAAATTACTTACATTTGCTGACGACGATACACATTTTTGCTTTGGAGAGTTAAGCACTTGATTGGAGGAGAGTGTAAATAATGAGGGGGGAAAGAGCTGGCTCCCACACCACATACTGCCCCCCCTGTGACACCTTACATGTAGAGACAGAACTCCACTTCCTCACATCAAGCCCCGAATATCAGTATCATATCAGTTTGAACACACACAAACTCCCGTACCTGCTGGGAGAAATACATTTGAAATTATAGCAGCATAATTAATCACAGCCTGTTAAACATAAACACAAGAAGAAGAAGAAAATATACTTTATTAATCCCACAAGAGGAAATTCAGGATAGGATCCTGTCGACATGCACTACTGGAGAGATGTCAGAGTGAGGGTGCTGCCCACAGTGAACACTCCTGAACTGGTGGGGGTATTCAGGGCCTTGCTCAAGGGCAAATCAGCAGATCTCAGGAAGTGAACTGGCAGCTCTCCAGCTACCAGACCAATTTCCAAATTTGGTCCGCACTGGGACTTGATCCACACTGGGACTTTATCCGGCGACCCTCTGGTTCCTGACCCAAGTCCCTACAGACTGAGGTACTAGGCTCATAAAAAAAGATGCTGATTTCATAAGCATCTATTTGAGGCTTATACATTCATAGGCTAAATATGTTGCTGTCCTGTAACAGTGGTCATGATACTCACCTTAATGTCTGGTCATTTTATAATTGAACTGAACACACATCGTACTGATTGGACCTTTAATACTGGATGGCAAATAAAGACTGCAGAAAAGGAGGAAAATGTTTTTTTTAGGTGACAGTAATGATGAAAAGCGTGAATAATCTCAGACTCTTTGTTTGAGAAAAGTTTTTTTATTTCTAAGAAATGTACAGTATAGAAAATACTCCACTCCATTTCCAAAATAATCTATGTCAGTCAGATAAGAACTTGTAAACGTCACTTAAAAATGAAAAGTACAGATCTTCTTTTCAATGCTGCCATGCTACTGAGGTAAAAGACAACTGCCCCCCCGGCCCCCAAAAAGAAACATACACCACATTTATATTAAAAACAAGTTCAAAAAATGTACAAAAATTATTCAAAGAGCAAATAAATATGATTCACATTTCATCACGTCTAAATGTTTTCACTAGTGCAGAGAGATGACAGCAGGGGAAAAAAGTGAGAGGTGAATGCACACTTTCTCATCGTCTGATGCAGAGTCTACACACACACACACACACACACACACACACACACCAGAAACACACACACATGAACACACACTTGCACAGCCTGGCAGGATTTTAAAATCGACTGTGTACTTCATAACGTAGACAGCACAAGTGAACACGCTACCTCCACAATGGCCCTACACGACACTAAATAATGAGACGGTTCTCTATTTGAATAAAATAGAGAGTCTCAGCATCGAGCACTCTCCTGTTTTTATAAACTTCCTAGTTTGTTTCCTTAAAATGTCCGATACCTACAGCTACAAAAACCATCCTCCAAACTCTAAGCAGTCTATTCCAGGCCCAAAGACACTGAAATGCTGCCTACTTCATCTGCAGGCAGGAAGTCATGCAATCTGTACAACTAAAGAGACCCACTTTCAGAGCCTCATCTCAGACATGTGATGTAAAATCCTCCATCACACATGAAAAGACGACATCAGAAAACTGACTAATGAAAGTGCTGTCTATTAAAGGATAGTGTACACTTTCAAGGATTGCTTTGTTACAGAACACCTGGAGCTAAAAATCAAACGGACAGCTGGATTATCGCGTCAGCGTCTTGTGGACACAGCTGGCAGGATGTTCCCCCTCCCAACACGGCGAGGGATCGTAAGGCCATTTCACCATCGCTTCTGTGAGCGTACAAACAACAAGTGGCTCGAAAATCTTCCACTGGTTTTACAATGTGTGGAGTCTGCAGATGCCACTGAGCGGTTGGATGAGGTAGATTGTGACAGTCTTTACCAACAGCAACATCAGGAATGTAGAAAAACCCCAGAGTGAATCCATCTCACTTTGACTCAACTTTAAGGAGAGTAAAAAGTCACATGATGTCTCCTAACATGTTCTTCACATGAGCTGGATTGATGTGCCACTCTTTCCTTACGCTTCTCCGTCTTTAAATCATGCAGAAAAATACCCGTATATAGAAACTGTACACCCTGAGGAAACGATTCGTTTTGAGATGGGGAAGAGGAAGCTCTCAATGAAGCAAAGATCAGGATGAACAAAGAGCTACTTCAGAACTTCAGAGGTGGAATGCAACCAATCTCACATTAAGAAAAAACAACATGGGGGTTTGTTTTTGTTTTTGTGTTTGTACATAAACCAGCTATGATAATTGTAGAAATCCCTCATCTGGAACAAGAGGTAAAGATATATTTTGATACATATATGTGGTTGACGATCCAAGGCCACTCAATTTCAGGATGTCTAGATTAAAAAGCTCCGTAGTGCATAACAGAGAGTTAGGTACAGCTGGATTCTAACCGCACCATCTTGGCTGCTCCCTTTCTGTTACCTAAAGACATTCTTAACAAAAGAAGGCAGCTTTGAAAGATGCATATACTGTGTTAGAAACATTTCAGAGTTGGGCTGGATACGGACAGTGGCTGGGCCTTTTTCACAACGCTTTATGCATGCAGTTTTTTCTGCTGCACACTCCTCATCGTCCACACATTCACTCGTACATTCACAAAGGAAACCAAGGCAATCGTAAGGGGGTCTGTGAGTTGACTTGGATAGGTGACAGTCTCATAGTACCTCCTTTTCTAACCCTGAGATTTAAGATATGGGTGACACAGAAAACAGCATTAAAACAAACAGTCTCGGTCACATTCCGCCTCGCTCTGTCTGCAGCTCCGTTCACATTTGAACGGCTCAAAGAGGAAGACGGCTGTCCAGTGTTCTTGAAGGCAGTGTCCCTTTTAGTTTGGCAGGTTTGCCTAGTGGTTAAAAAAATCTGCCCTTCTGCAGGACGGTCAAAGTTCAAACGCTCAAATTTGAAAGCGACAACAAGAGCGAATTGTCCTCGATAGAGTCAGAGGATCCCGCCCACATCCACAGAGCTGCTTCATGAGTGACCCTGTGCAGAGCTGTTGTGCTCAATAACATGTTCTATCATCATCTGGGTGACACCTGCTGCTGTTTCACTCTTCAAGTCCAGTGGCGGGTAAAACAGACTCAAAAGGTTTTTGTCCAGTGTAAGAAAATCATTTAGAGACGTCTATGGAGTTAAGATTCTCTTCTCCTCTATAGTCTCTGTTCTTCCTTTTTGCCATCTGCTTTGTCCTTAAATAACGTGCCTGAAAGAAGAAGAACAATATATTATTATATTATAGCATTAACAGATGTGTCTTGACAGTAGGAAGGTTTCACTTCTGTGTTTCTGGTTCAATCTGAGAAGAAAAATGAAATGCATCACCATATTTAAGTTTATTTTTAGAGATGGTGAGGAAACGAGAAATCGCTGAAAGCTGTGAAATGATATATAGTTCAAAGGCCAGAAGCGGAGCAGAGATGTGGAGGACATGAACGCAGGTTTTAAAAAGTGTCACTAGTGATCCTGTTATCACAACAGATGAGCCTTGTGTAGGAAGGATTGTTGTTTGAATGACGTCGCAAAACTCTGAGAGTGCAGAATCGCTACCTGCAGCAATCAGCCACACAGGACAATTAAAACAAGGGCATTAGATTCTATTTTTTGAGCCTTTCATTGTAGAGAAAGGACAGTGGATAGAGTTTTATATCAGGGAGAGAGAGAGAGAGAGTGGGGAATGACATGCAGGAAAGGAGCCACAGGTCAGATTTGAATCACTCTGCCTGCTATGAGGACTTTAGCCACCGTTCACTAACCACTACTCTGCCGATGCACCAGAGGTCTCATTTTTAACACCTCGATATTTGCATCTAAAGAGGAATGTCATAGACGACATCTCTCTCTCAAACCAACGCTTCTCGCATGACCAACGCGAGGGGTAGAGAGCGAGGGAAAATCATTCACTAGTGTATCAATCTTTGCTGGCAAAAAATAGTTGGCTGTAAACCGGGGTGATACGTTCTATGTGTGGGGAAACACTGTCACAACTTCAGGTCAGATAAATCCAGAAGATCCACATACTTTACTCACACTGATATGGTTGTGGTCACACTCCTTGTTTACCGCTCGGGCCGCCTGGAGCAGCCATCATCTGTTGCCTGTGAACACAGAGTTACAAAACAATGAATGTTGTTTCTCCATAACACTAAAAGACGAGGCGAGCCACAGTTGAGCCAGCAGCATTCTCCTGTTATTGTATTCCGACTTGAGAAAACATAATGCAGCCGTTTAATTACGTGCACGGACATCATAGCAGTCGCATTTATATACTCTATGCTTGAGCTGCAGCGTTCTCACATCATCTCACTCTGACTTGCTGCGAAAAGTTGGAGTGAAAAATTCGGCTGCTTACATTCACACATGAACTCTGAAACACTCTGAAAGCCTGATATGATAGAGGATAATTCAGATCAGAACTTCACAAGTTTTGAGGCAAAAATATATTTTTTTAAATCACAGGATGTCTGTTGCTCACACTTTTTTGAGACGCTGTTAGAGACAAAGAAGTGCACAAAGTTTGTCTTATTGATCAACATTGTGCTTCTTTTTGAGTTTTGTTAGAAGGTAACTGCAAACCAAAGTTAAAGGGATACTTCACCCATTTGCATTAAGCTTTGTATCATTAGAAACTTGGTAGTTTTTTGAATGGTCGTGCATCCCGCCCTCATTTTCCCCCAAATGGGAAATCTTTGTATTTGTAAGTCTGAAAAGGAGCTTCCAGTGACGCAAAATGACGATTTTTTGAGTCACTGGAAGCTGTTGTGGTTAGCGGGGTGAAACTACAACGCTAGTTCCTCATATTTTCGACCACTGAAGCTACAGACCAATCACAGATCAGTGGGTGGGAACTCACGCCCAGAATCGAATCTTAACGTCTGCCATATTGCTTGGAAGCTATGCTAACAGGCTCTATGGAGAAAGCTGATAATGGCGAAAAAATATAAATATAGCGGCGAGATGGCTGCTGCTGACAGGCCAGTCTTGTGTTTTGGCTGCTGCGGCCACTAGCCGCCGCTAGCCTCCAGGGCCGGCGCGACACCAGACCTGCCTGTCCAGACTGGCTGCCAGGAATTTCCAAGATTAATTCTGGAAGAAATCTCTGAATCAGTTGAGGAAATGGTCTAATGTGTTGAAGTAAATATGTCAGTAAATGTTTTTATGACTATATTTCTACTGCTATATTGTATATTTTGGAGAAACTGTAACGATCGAATTTCCCTCTGGGATTAATAAAGTATTTCTGATTCTGAAGAGGACCTTAGTGGGAGTGGCCTGCAGTGCTGTGCATTCTGGGATTTGGTGCCTTTCATCCACATGAGCCAAAAATACACTTTCTGCCTTTTCACGGCCAAGAAGGCACCAACTTCAAAATGTATTTAACATTTCTACTACATATGACCCAATGTCAATACAGATTCATGTTTCAACGGGTGAAGTATCCCTTTAACTTCTAACTGATGACTGTTTTGACTCAGACATGAAACTACAGATACAGAGAGATTTTTATTCTAAGCTCTTTAAACTGCTGTGTAGAGTTGTAAAAATACAAAAAATGTACACTTCAATATGATAATAGTAAAAAAAAAAAAATCAAATGATATCGATTCCATGGCAACAAAAATAAAAGTCCTAGGCATCAGATATTAGGTAATTTCTTGTTTTTAACACGTACCCTGGGTGTAGGAAGTGTTCTGGTGCGAGTCCTCTCTGCTGCATCATCATGCCCTGGAAGTGCCCCACAGGACGCGGGTGTCTGTACATGGCCATGCGTGTCTGACCCGGCGAGTAGGGCAGCTGCTGGGGCCGCTGCAGAGCCTCCATCAGGTGTGGGTGTGGTCTTTGGGAGGCATATCGTCCTTGATCTGGGTACGGCTGGCCAGGGTAAGGGGCTCCGTTGGCGTTTCCTCGAGCTTGAGACATCATATGAGGTGGAGGAACGCCACCTTGCTGCATCCCGGGGTGCACGGCGCGAGGGTCGTACATGTAGCCGGACACCATGTGTGCAGCTGAGGCGGGAGGGTGGTGGTGATGATGGGGGGGCTGGGTGCTTCGACGGCGAGCGGCAGCATTATGGCTGTCGAGGTCCAGGAGTTCTTTCGGGCTTTCAGATCGCTCTGAGCCCTCGGTGTGAGGCTGACCTGCTGGGCTGCCTCCCCCTGCACGCCTCCCTTCCTCTGAGAAGCCATGGTGCAGCCCTTCAGGCACAGGACAGGGGGAAATCAAAGAAGCACCACTGGAGCCCTCAGAGCCCAGTGGAGACACACTGCTCTCCTTTAAATGACCATTTCCTCTGGCAGCGGTAGTGGGTATGTAGGTGTTTGGCGGCACCGTGTGGTGAGGCTGATAATGTGCGCGTTGCCACTCCTCGGGAGGAAAGCTCCCTCTATTGTTGGCCTGCGCTTGGGGATGTGGGTGGGGGTAGTAGTGCTGCTGTTGGTAATGGTGAGGGGGGTACATGTTGGGGTGGGGCTGTGGGTGCTGTTGGCCTGGCATGTGGTAAGAGTAGGCCAGCCCTCCCTGCTGGTGGTAGTTCGGGTGGTGGGCAGGATTGTGTAGGGGGTTCATGGCCTCATTGTGATGAGGGTGGCGGGCAGACGGAGGCATGGGCCTGCTCATGTTCGTCTGGCTGTAGTTTGGATGTTGAGGGTTCCCCATGCCGTAAGGACCCATGGCTCCATTTGCCTGGCCTTGGGGGTGAGGGGGCACAGCTTGATTGTGGGCAAGTGCCGGTCCTCTCTGAACCTGAAGACCTGAGTTACCGCCCAGCTGTGAGGTTTGATGGTGATTGGGGCTGAAAGCCTGCTGTTTATAAACACCATTCAGAGTTCCAGATTTCATCACAGTGTGCTGAGGGGGAATGGTCGTGGCTCCCGTGTCTGGTCTACTCGTAGGCTCACTAGGTCTTTGATCTCCATGCTCTGCAGGGGAGGGCTGGGAGGGTAAAAGTGGGGTGGGATGACTGGGTGGTAAGGAGGTGAGAGGCGCAGGCTGAGGGGGTCCAGGCTGGGCTCCTTGTGTGGCACTCTGAGGCATGCCGTGCATGGGGTTGGTTTGTGCAGGACATTGTTGAGACGTGATTTGGGGAGGTGGCAGAGAACTGTGTTGCTGTGTGTTTTGGATTATCTGCTGGGGGGAGCTCTGAGGGAGGTAGTGAGGAGAGGGGCTCGGCTGGTGGTCGCTCTGCTGACATTTATTCTGCAGATTGTTCTCTGTCCCTTGCTGAGTTGAAGTCTGAGATGCTGAAGCCTGCAGCAACGGTGCGTTCTGTTGAGGGAGTGTGGTTTTGGGCGCTGTTACCTGTGGACTGCGCTCAGGATGGGTGGGTGAAGTGGAGCTGTTGTCCCTTCCGTTGATATGGGATGAAACATTATTGGCACAAACTTGTTGAGAGGGACCATGGCTAGCAGATTGTGTCTGAGCGGTTCTGTTGTGCCCGTGGCTCTCTGTTGAACTCTGTGGGAGCCGCGGTCCAGATGGATTCTGCAGGGATCTGCCTGATTTAGGGTCTGGGAAGCTCTGCGTGCCCTCTGGTGGCCCAGAGCTGTGTCCTGTGGGGCTTTGGATTGACGAGTGCTCTTGGTAAACTGAAACAGTGTTTTGTGTTGAAACTTCATCTGAAATGTTGTTTGCAGCCACGGTGTTCCCTGATGTGGATTCTGTTGACAATGAAAGAATATTTAGCGTTAGGAAGAAGTGAAATAAGAAAGTAAGATTTCTATTCAATACAACAACAAAATGAAAACAGCTGATACGGATCATGCTTGATCTGTTTGGATCACCCTCCACAGTTCGGCTGTACATGATCTGCAGATCGATGACAATTTATAAACATGGTGTAGGCTAGGGCTGGGCAATTAATCAAAAATTAATCAAAACCCACATTCAGAACATCTTACCGGCGTAATCTTGCCCATGCTGATTATTTTGATTATTTTCAGTACAGTCATTTGGACACATTTTGTCTTTAGGGAAGATGACACCGAACAAAAAGAAGTCAAATGTAAACACTGCAGAAAAACTGTTTGCAAGAAATGCAAGTTATTTATTTTCTACTGTTTCAGAGAAGTTCATTTCTACTTTAAAACCAACATGTGTTGTTTTCATGTCAAGCCATTCTTTTATTTCAGTTTGAAATATTCAATAAATAACCACAAAATAGTTCATCAGATATGAACTCTGTCATTAGAAAACATATCTCAGCTTTAATAGTTGAGCATATTTACAGTAGAGACCTCATCAGTGAACTTGTGAGGGCAAAAAACAAAAAGGAAATAATCATTAATTAATCGTTATAGAGGTAAAATGTTTCATTAATCGGGATGTTAATTCAAGGTCATATCGCCCAGCCCTAGTGTAGGTTGTAATAAAGTTGTTTTTATATTTCAGTTCGTTGTTCCCTGATTTTAAAGGAAGAATATGCGATTTTTTGATCCAGCAAATGTCGCCCTTGAGCACCAGCATGAAACCAAAACAACTCAAGCTGCATTGTTGTGCTAGCATGCTAATGCTAGCGCTCTTTATCTTCACACTGCATGTAAATTTACACAAAATGACCGTGATCTAAAATGCTTATGTGTACAAAATGAGTTGAGGTTCATCTGCTTCTATTATTATTAATTTTGGAGCCTTCTGTGAATAAAATACGAGGATTGAAAAATTATTTCAATTAGATCCACGGAGAAGCATTTTGATTTGCAGGGAAGTTAAAATGCTCAGTTTGAGTCATGTCCAGCTGAGGAGAAGAAAAGTTATGTTTTAAATGTCTTTCTTATTTTTGTTGATCCAGAAAAAAAAACCTAATCAGATCTGTGATGAAAATCTATGATCTGATCCGAACGGTGGGATTAGTTATCCGTAATATCACGACTATTTATCCAAACAAGTCATCATAATAAAACATAGTCCATGTTTGATTTCACTTATTTGTCAGCCTGCTAGTGAAGCTTGACTGATGACATGCCATCTCTTCTGTTCCCTTTAGCCACCAGCAAGACATTTCACTAAACTAATGAATATTCAATTTGCCACTTACTGTGAAAAATAATTAAAATCAAATTGGAAAAAGCACTCGTCACAGAGGACAGGCGAGGGTGGGGGCTGTACTGATTTAAACACTTCACAGTCTATAAAGAACGTTTGTATAGATAGAGAAAGGTTAGACTGTGCAGGTTTCTTCATGCAGAACACAGACGGCTGTGGAAACACTGAGAGAGAAGGTCAGCTCTACCTTTGGGCTGCTGGTCTGTCTGTGGAGAAGGCTGCCTGTCTGGCCCATTGTCTCCAGCAGGACGCAGCAGCTGAACCTCAGGGGCAGGGGGAGGCTGCTGAGGGGGCTGAGCTGGGATGCTGCCAATTCCTGATGGGGGCCCGGGCTGCTGAAAGTTGCTCATGTGCTGATGAGGGGCGCTAGCAGGGGGTCTAGAAGAGGCTGACAGCTGCTGCAGGGCCAGCATCTCTGGGCTTTCCAGCATGGAGGCCAAGCCTGTCCTGCCAGAGGAGTCTGTGTGGGGGACAGGGGGACGAGAGGATGTGGGCCCTGTGGAGCTGACCGCTGCAGGGATTTGATACTGGGCGTTTGGAGGTGGGTGGGGGTATCCAGCAGCTTCCAGCCATGGTTTATGCCCCACTGGAGGGGGAACTCCACCATAACTAAAGTTCCGCTGGTTCACCATGTTGGGATCTTGCATACGCATCCCATTGGGTCTCTCCTGGTGATTCATACCAGTCCACATGTTGGATAGTCCCATACCAGGAGGCCTCATGCCTGGGAAGTTGTGCTGAGGAGGTCCTTCTGGCCCTGGGAATCTGTTGCCCACAGTGTGCATGTTGTGGCCCTCTGGACGGTGGTGGGATGGGTACATGCTGGCTTCAGGAGGAGGTCCAGACTGGAGGGCTACAGGACGTGGGCCCAGGGACGGGCCATGAGTCGGACCCATGTATGGGTGCTGCTGCGGGTGTTGGGGATGCTGATGGTTGTGCTCTGGGCCCATTGGATAGCGTGGACCCATGGGATGTCCTTCAGCCATACGATGCTAAAAAGAAAAAAAGAAAACAGTGAGTGTTTTCGAACAGCATATCTGTTAATTGGTATCCAAAAAAAGACAGTAAAATAAGGGGGCTCTGCTGTAGAGAAATCAGGGCTGTGGCTGGCAAAGCAGGAAAAATACCTCCCAAAACACAGAGAACATAGTGTAGTGTTAAATTGTTTTTACTCACTCTGACACCATGATGAATACATTCATTTAAAAACTTTACTAAATGTGGATTTTAAGAGTTCTTGTGCGTTTGCAATATTTGAGCTCTACAGAAATCCTATAGCTCAATCATTATCAGCTGGATGGCACTAGAAAGTGTTTATTTATCTAGAGACGTCTGACAGCAATCATTTCATTTAAGGAGAGATGTATCTGCATACCTGCATGTTGAAATCGTGAGGCAAGCGGTTGAAACCAGGTTCGCCATGTCTGGGTATGTGACCCTGGTAAGCAAAGCGGGGATCCATGGCCATCCTTTGGGCATACATGTAAGGACCATGAGGACCATGAGGACCATGAGGACCATGAGGACCAGGGGGGCCGGGGGGACGATGGATCTAGTAACAGATATAAGAGAGGGTTCACAGTTTTAGTTTTTTGCCAGCATTTTTGCCAGGAAGCAAAAGAAAAAGGTAAAGTAAGAACAAGTTGTTCAAATAATGAAAGTGGCAAAAGACGAATTAGGAGCATACATTAAAATCAAAGTTATGGTGTGGATACCTGCTGCCCTGGGTGGTACATGCCCCTGATGTCTCCCCCGTGGACTTGTTGCCGACCTGGATGAAGGCTGTGGTGATGCGGGGGGCGGTGGGCCCAGTGAGGGGGCAGAGGTGGTTGGCTTGGCCTGATGTCATCTTCCTCTAAAAGTTGGCTGCCTTTGCCACCCTGGGAGTTTCTCTTGCGTTGGACTAGCTCAGTGGCTTTAATCAGACTCTCGGGTCCAGAGCTTTTACTACCACGGTTTCGCTTTTTGTCCTTGCGCTCCTTGTCTTCTCTGCTGATGTGGAATTCCTCATCTGTGTCACCGTCCTCTGATGGAAAGTGTTTTAGTAAAGCCCGGCTGAAACAGCGATCCAGAGACTCTGACATGATAGTGTACTCTGGAAAAGAAAGAGGAAAAGAAAGTAAATTGATGCTTATTTGATAAAACACAGAACACAAACATCTTCTGCATCACCCCTCAAACACTCTGACTCTACATGTCACATTCACTAATCCACACACATTCAAACATTGATGAGATAGGACTCACGATGCGAGCTGTGCCTTCATGAGATATTTGGGGTTCAGATTCTAGCCCATGATTTAGGGATGTCACAATACCACATTTTAAATTTTCAATAGTAAAAATCAAATGGTAATCAATACCTGTTTCGATACCACAGCAACATAAATAGAAGTCCTTGGCACCAAATATTGGTGAATTTCTTGTTTCTAATTTACAAAAATAGCTGCAAACTTCTGCACACGGTCTTAATTGCAAAAATGTTGGCAAGTTGGCAATGTTTCAGTATTTGTTCAATCAAGACAGTGTGCTATTGCTCTCTTTCCCTTATTTCTTTTTCCAAATATGACTTAAGATTTGAAGCCATCTTAAAAAATTTAGTACTTTTCGGGACTTGCGATCATTATAATAACACGTGGTATCAACATCTACAAGTTGACTGCGGGAGCAACAACTGATTAAGTCAAAGCCGCTCCTACAAACCAACATGGTGGCCGTGCACACACACACACACACACACACACACACACACACACACACACACACACACTTGCTGCTCTGTTCTGAGCCCAGCAGTGGCCGACTGACCAGGTCAGAGGGCTAAGGTTAACCCCTGCTCCTCCAACCCCTTCCTCCTCCTCCTCCTCCTCCTCCTCTCCTTGCTCCACCCTGGGCCCCCTTACCACTCTCCTCCCCCCTGTCCCTGGGGAAAGTATTCAGTTGGATGGATGGCTCCAGACAGGGGGCTTAGGGGCTGGAATGTTTCTCTGGCACTGCAGGGCTCGGATCCCCCTGAGCACTGGAGCACAGCTCAATCACTCCTCATTAATCACTGTCAAGGCTGCCCTGGCCCCGGCCCCTACACAGCACCAAGTCCGGCCCCCTTTCTTTTGCTGTCTCTCCCACTCTCACCCCCCCAAAAAATTCATACATGTGCCTCCTTCTCCGTGCCTCTGTTCATACTGAGGGGGCAAATTCTGACTACAAAGCAGGATTCTTGGGAGTTTAACTGATTAATGTGTGCACTTGTGTTAATTTACCACTGTCTTCTCCGTTGTACTCAATGCAGTTCTCAAACATGAGTTTCACGTCGGCAATAAACTCCTCCTTAGCAATGTAGTCCCCATCATTGAGCTTCTTCTCGATGGTGGACAGGTCCATGGGAGTCTGACGGATCAGAGGGTTAGAATTAGGGTTAGCACAAAAAAATGAAAACCAATTCAACACCAGTGTAGTATATGTATCCCTGATTATTTAAGTTAGTTTAACTACCACATACAAACAAAATTTCAAACTGTCGACATGTAGCGATGCACCGATTGCTAATTTCATGGCCTCTTCTGATCTCTGCAAGGTTTGACCTGCTGATTCAGATTTCCTTTCTTCAAAAGAACAACAACCAACAGCAGAAACAAACCGTTCTTGTTACTTTTCTTTAATGGAAACTCAATTTTATGTTCATAATAAACAACCGACTGTTAGTTAGTCTAACTATTTATTAAAAACTGCATCAGGTTAAATAACAGTCGCTCATTCTCATGTAAAGCTTCACTTGCTTCAGCTGCCTGACTCCTGAAGATGTTATGAATTATCCAACAAATTGATGACTATGATGGCTTCTTACCTGTCTACCTCTCTATTCCTCATTGCCATGGTGAACAGTATTTGCAGCTTCCAAGAGCTTTTATGTTGTTTTGAATCAGTTAATTATCAAAACCAGTGAGTGATGCATCTCACAGCAGGTTAAACTTTTGAGTAACATGCTCGCACGCTGATTTCATTGTTCAAGTGTCCCACCGTTACCAAAGAATATTACAGGTATATCAATTAATTAGTATCTAATGTACTGCGCTTGCAAAGCCCTGGGGAGACAGAGAGAGACAGGGAGAGAGAGAGAGGGAGAGAGAGAAAGAGAGACAGACAGACAGAGAGAGAGAGGGAGAGAGAGAGAGAGAGAGGGAGAGAGACAGGGAGAGAGACAGGGAGAGAGACAGGGAGAGAGAAAGGGAAAGAGAGAGAGAGGGAGAGAGAGAGGAGAGAGAGAGAGAGACAGAGACAGAGAGAGAGGAGAGAGAGAGAAAGAGAGAGAGAGACAGACAGAGAAAGAGAGGAAGAGAAGCGCAGGTACACAAATGAACTGCAGGATGCAAAACAGAAACTGGTAGAGCTTATTTCAGCCTAGAGGAGCTAGTGCTCAGAAACTGTCTGCTTATCCTCCAGTAGGTCAAAGCTCTTTTGCCTCTGCTGATGGACACCTCATATCCACTCTCCTGACGCGTTAGTTTTCGTGTGTGCGCATTGAATGAACCTTGCAGCTTGTGTGTGTAAATCTGAGATGGTCACAGAATTGGATATATTTATGTGAGTGTGTCAGTGAGGACTGGGTGGTCACTGTTCACAGCCATGTCCCAGCCTCTTGATCGGTGCACCTCTAATTACATGCCAGCCATTACAGCCTGTGTTTGATACCTTGATTAGCTCATGGTAATTGGGGGCATACGAGTCGTCCACAGGCTCCAAGAAAGGCCAAGCATCTTTATGGGATTTCAAGGCCTCAAGCACTGCAAAACAGACACAAGTGCATAAGACATTAGCAGGAATATTAATCCAGATTTAGTCAAAGCAACAACTCAGAGCTCAGTAGGCATACCTTTGTAAAGAGCCGTGTAGTCGTCATCAATTTCGTAGCTGTAATGTTGAACATAAATGTTAAAATGCTGGACATCGTCTCATTTGAAGTTATGTGAAGTCAAAGTGTTAAAAACATCTTACAATTCTTTGTTCCTGCGAGTTCTGTGCACAGGAGAAGAAGGCTCCAGGTTCAGGAGTTCAGGTGGAAGGTCTTTTCCTTGAGATAGCAACCAGGCTTTCTCTTCTCGCATCTTCCTTCTCTTCGCTCGCTCTGAAGGAGGAACACAAGGAGCAGTTAGAGGCACAAACATTACAATAACACCAATCTCTGGAGGCTGCAGGTGGATATGGCTTTAATTGCTTTTTTCAGGCTTTTGAGTTACAGTTTAAATTTTTACTCGCTGCCCGTTGAGGCTATCAGGAGAGTCAATGAAAACCAGGCCTGGGTCTTTGGAGACAGAAGCTCAGATAAGTAGAAGGGGAGAGATTCGTCAGCCATCTTTCCACAGGCCCAGTTGATCAAAAGAGCAGAGAGAGTGCGTATATATCACTGCTTTATCTTTTGACATGAGAGGCCTGCCAACCCCCTGCCGTGTGGATTAAAGAGGTCTGAGGGAGGATTTTTCATATGCAATCCACACAGAGAGCAGCCCGGGTCCTGCTGTTCATCTATAATACATTAATGAGGCTCCTCCACTGAAGCACAATCAGCAGTTCATTAACCCTTGACAGATGACATCAGAGGGAGGGAGTGAAAGAGGAGTGATCCTGTGATTAAAGGCCCTGAACATTCCCTCTCACAGTCTCTCTGTACTGCACATAAATCACAAGGCTTCCACCGAAGATTTCTGAACCGTTAAGAGCCGAACCACAGCGATGGGGACGTGTTAGAAAAAAGAAAAGTATGTGCGTGACATGCGTGGGATCCTCTTTAAAATCCATCATGCCACACGATCTGGAAAAAGGGTAGGAAAGCCGTCTACCTGCTGTGAAAGGTTTGTGGTGACAGAATATGACAACACTTTTTGATACTTCAGGGTTATTGCACACTTTTTAAAATCAAACTTACCCAAAACTAACCTTTCTAAGACCCTAAAAGAGAAAACAAATATTGCTGCAGGTAGCGTCAGAGCTCTAGGACTCTTGATTCCCATCGTCCACAGTTTAAAATATTTTTGTGTATCTTGGAAGTCTCCTCATAATTGTTGCCATCCATTCCCTTTATTTTTCATCCTAAAGCCAAATTTCCTTAAACGTGCATTTTCCCCCCATCTTCTTCTTCTTCTTCTTCCTCTTCCTCTTCTTGACCTCTCTTACGATGGTAGTTTGTGAATGCGTACGTAAAAAGCTGCTTTAAATGTCATGAATTGTTACAGGAACATAGAAACCACAGAAAATTAGTAATGGATCATATAAGGCTAACTGACCAAAAAGATTGAAAACCGTGGGAAATGTGTATGCAACCGTTTTCAAACAGGGAAGTGTACCGCTATATGATGTAATTCTAAACTGCTGCTCTGGCTTCAAAAACTATGGTATCAGCACGGCACGGGACAATCATCCTCTGAGCTGCACGATAAATGTGGAAGTAGGAAGAGGGTTGTTGTTGGCGTCTCAGAAATCACAAAAACATCCACAGTTAGCAGGATGGACTCATAGTGGTTGCCATGGTTTCTTCTTTTTCTTTCTGTTTTTGGCAAATTTGCAAACCAGCTGTGTGCATACCACCACCTGCTGTATCGGACTTTGTTCATACACAAGACTCGGGCACAGAAAGATGTTACCAATGCGAACGCAGACCAGCAGGGGGGAGAAGGGATGGGGGGGGCAATGTTGCTAATGTGAAAACGCCCTAAGACTATTTTAGGATCTGTGGGAACCCTGTGCTTAGCGTGACCCTTTATTTATATTTTGTAATCCTTCTGCATATTTATAACAATGTAAGCTTTATGTTTACGGACTCAAATCTGAAAAATAACGTCATTCTTGTACACAAAAAAAACTGTCCATCTATATTCACAGACATCTATCTTACCCTCCACAGCTTTGACCTTCTCCATCTTTTCTCTCTGTAGTTCCTCCTGCAGAAGTCTTTCCTCTTCGCGTCGCTGCTCAGCCAGCAGGACTTGCCGGTCCAGATCTTCATCTTTCTTCTTCTCTTCCTCCCCAACGGCATTCAGGTCGTCCTGAGACACACACACACACATACGATCATTAGTCGACTCTGCATCATAGAAGGTCAACTTGTGATGAATATGTGGCTGACTGTAGGATAACTTGCTATACAAATCTTGTGCATACAACATAAAAAAGACCAGTTCTGGTTCACCGGAACAATCACAGCTAGAGTCTAAACAAAGACATCAGAGGCGTAACACTGACAAAAATGCACGCCTACTCACCTCATCCTCCTCTTGGTTGTTGTATTTTATTGAGAATCGTTGAGATGTGCGGACTGGAGTTGGGTCCAGTAATTTCTGTTTCTGCTCCCGCTCCTGAAATAAAATAAGAAAATGTTCATCCAGCCATCCAGACATTATCTGTGATTCAAATTTGAACATAACTAGAACCTCCCAACCAAACGGAAGTAGCCGTAGAACACAAAAATATGTATTTGATTAAATTGATTTAAATCTTTAATTCCTTTAATTTTTTCTCTCTGCATCACATTTGTAGATCTGGCTGTTGGTGAAATGGACAACAATTAATTAGCCGTCATATGAATAGTTCAAGGTGCGATAGGTACGCCGCCCCTGTAACCTCTCGCCTTTTTTGTGAATGTCACAGAGACCTGATGGTAGGACCAGGTCGTCCCACCTATGTGCTGGCATCGAGGCAGAAACGGAGGCGTTACAGAGGCAGGTTGGGATCATCATACAGATGCAGAGCAGGCAGGGCAGAACAGCGTGTGCGTGTGCGTGTGCGTGTGGAGCTTCCGCTGTTCGATTACAAGTCATGCTTCTGCGACGAAGTAACACAATATTACACCATTGCAGAATCAATATGAAATTACATGAGACATAATGACAAAGGAGCTTCGTTACAGCGCTGTCGCGGAATCACAATCTGAAAAAGGCTAATTGATTGAGTCTTCAAGACTGAGAGATGGACGACCACACACGGGCCAACACAGTGACAGGCCCTGGGGAGTTGTGGAGGAGCGGTGAGCACTGAGAGGTCACTGGCTCTGCTCTCCCCTCCCCCAAGAAGACACCCTCTCTCCTCTGCTGACTGAATTCCCGGAGTATACAGCCAATATCATAAGCACAATCCTTCAGCATGTACATAATAAGTTTACAGTCAACACTTTAATCCACATAAGAGAAACATCAGGGATCCAGATAATTCCACAGGAAAAGAGGGGAAACAACAGATTGCTCTGAGCACAATCCTTAGAGGTATGTCTATATCAGGGAGCGGCCTCTGCAGCTCATGTCAGAGTTCATCAGTAAAGCCCAACTGTGAGTAACCGACAGCCCAGGCAGCACAGAGAGGAGTCACAGTCCGGCTCCTGGACGTCTATAAAACAACCTTCAGAGGCTGAAAAATACGTAAGCAGCCATATCAAGTGTTTGTGTGAGCGCAGCTGAGGATAAATAATAGAATGAATGTCGATCTTGCTTATTTTAAGAAACAGTAACACATTCAACTCCTGAAGTAAGAAACAAGCTAACATTAACTACTGAATTAAATAAAAAGACCTTACTATATGATCAGACATTAAGGAAACATGCTATGTTGAAGTGTTGGCTTCTCTGACAACAATGCAGCAGCCAGTATGTCCTCCTAACTTTAGATTCTGGTCCTGAATGCTCTGGATTTGTTTGGACCAGAGAAGGTAGGCGGTTTTAAGGCACCCCCACACAGCCGTTTTGGACGCCCCTCGGTTTGTCAGATATGAGTTATCAGGTCAAACCAACAGGTGTTGCAGTGATGGAAGCGGTCAAGAGAAGTGGTTCAGATAGAAGTGATTGTACCCGACCTAAAAAGCCTCTGCATGTTTCTAATAAGCTCCACGAGCAGAAACGTGCTCAAACTAGAATCAATATTGGGGATGCTTTTGAAAAATGGAGAGAGGTTAGAACACAGAAAGGTTTACAGACCGATGCAGAGCTGGATAAACACTGAAGCTTCAGTGTCCACCACATGGCAACCTGCATGAGCATCGACTCTAGAGAGGAGGGGGCGGGGGGAGACAGCTCTCTACAATGTTTTGAATTTGGACTGCAGTACCCATTTTAAACTCTAGGGGTCAGAGTTACATGTTGCTCCATTAAGCCTGATTTATACTTTTGCAATGAATAGAAAAGCTGTTTTAAAAAGTGCACATTCATATCCCTCTTAAATCAAAAATGACAACTGAAGCACAAAAGAGTGTCTCCCTTACCAAAGCCGTAAATAAATGACAGATCTTCAGTCATATTTTCCACCATAAGCTGCCGCAAGAGGAAGAAGGGAGAGCTGTCTAAACTGTAAAAATACATTAGCAATGTTGAATTTGTTGCCTTGGTATAATCATCAGGAAATTTAAAAAACTGGCAACACTAGAAGGAAGGTGTGGTGAGGAGTGAGAAGCAGAGACAAAAAAAAGACTGATGTTCATGATCTGATCTATAGTGCCCTCCACAACTACTCTGTCCACACTCCATCTCTGCAGCGCTGGTATATCCTCAGGGTATACAATCCATCCCTACACTACATATCCAAACCCCCTCCATCCAACATGCAGAAGATAGAGTGCCTCTGGTGTCACCACTTAGAGAGGTCGACAGAATCCCGCAGCCCAGCAGAGCTGTCAACTCAAGAGTCTCCTTCCTGCCTCAAGGTGAGCTCCCTCCTGCTGTCAGTGCCCCGTGAAACGGCTGGTGACAGCAGCCCGAGACACATGAGGGGACGGATTCAAGAGGCTGCACACACTCTGCATTTGACACGATTGTACGCACACACTGGCACAAACACAGATATGTTCATACATAGTATCAACATGATTCGATTTGATCACAGCTTCGACAGATCTAAGAAGTAAATTGACTATGGGCTAAAAGAATATCAGCAATTAGTAAACATTAAGAGTAATTATTAACATAATGCATAATTTAGGTATCCTGCTGTGTGAAATCAGTGGGGTTTGTATTTCATTTTAATTCATCCTGCTTTTCGAGCCAAGTAATTAATCGAGAACGCCTGATAGAGTAAATGTTAATGGAAATATTTATTCCATTGTGTTCCTTTTAATCCTGCGCCTTGTGCTTTACAGGCTACAATTTCATGCTTTAAGAAATCAATTAAGATAAAGGCAAAGCAGACAATCTCCAACATGCTTCTCCACTCATCAGCCCGCACCAATAACATGCAGCCATTAAAGGTCACATGTAATGCAAAATACACTCTACCATGTTGTTCTAACACTAATATGTGTCTCTAGTCTGTCTACAAACCCCCCAATGATGAGAAAAGTCCATCCTCTCCATCTTCTGCCTGCTCCACTTTTCAAAAAATGTGTCATCAAACTGGCCGTTTGGAAGTTTTCCCTTCATGACATCACAAAGGGCAGTAACCCCTTCCCCAGGTGGGTGACACTCCCACAGCTAGGTGTTTGTTCTGCCCTCTGAGTCTGCCTTCTCACCGTAAACAATAGGACATGGAGCGAGAAAGCCCGAGACACCCAAGCCCTTCCAGAGAGGGGGCGTGGTCAGACACAGCTCATTTACATATTTAAAGGTACAGACACAGAAACAGCCTGTTCTGTGCTGGGACCCCTGCATATGGAGCAGTCATATTTTTAACCAAAACCTGCTGTGAGCAAAAGAGAGAGAGCCCTGTCTTAATTGCACAAAAACAAAGAAGTTAATATTGGGTGTCAAGGATTTGAACTTGAATCAAAGTTTAAAATTCTGGTATTGTGACAACACTAGTGGACGTACTTTGTTTTCAGCTTCAGTTAGAAAACCACCATCTCTAACTATTGGCCTAAAGTCGGTGCAACACAGCTGACTGATTCATCCAGTGAGTGTCTGTGATAAGTGACCGTCCAACCTGCCGACATCAAATTGCCAGAAGCTTCATTCCTTCTCGGTGATGTAGAAAGGCTGACAAGCAGCAGTCAGTGTTGGTTTTGTGTTACAGGATCAGGAAAGTGCTCAATACGATTTTTAATAAATAGATATAAGATATAAGATGACATGAAGCTGCATCACTTGATAAATTCCTTCAGAAACTAAACATATCAAGGATCATTTGATGCGTAGTGTTTGCTTTGACTGATTCAAAGGCAAACAGCATGTCTGTAATCTTCTCTTGAGGTATTTAAAACACATTCCAGGAAAGATTGGACAGACAAATAGGCTTGACCTGAGGAACCGCCAAACAGCCGGTGGCAGAACTTTCTCTCCCTCAGTCAACCAAACTAGCATGAGAGCATACAGTAGGTCTCTAAAGTTAGGCTCAAGTTAAGGCCTGAGGCAAATGTCATTTCAAAACTGGTGTGAAGATTTAAGGGACAAGCACAGACCGGCATCCCCTTCACCTCACCTGTCCCGACAAACCAGCAGAGAACATGTTTCTAATGCTACATAATTATCCCTCAGAGTATTTTCCCATCAGACTAAAACCGTTTTCACATATGCACTCCTGGAAATATCTAGATCATTTCAGGACGACAGCTCTGGATAATCTCCTGATGTGGCTGTTCACATACGCACCTCCTGAGGTAAGACGTGACGTAAAATGAACAACGCTAAAGTAGCTGACAAAGCAACAGAGTCCGCTATACACCATAATGAGTATGCTTGCCTTTATATCAGTAATACATGTAGTTCAACGCCCCCTCGCATTCGCACAGAGGAGTTTAGGGCAAGCAGCGGACAAAATTGTCCTTGGCTCGAGCTGCAGTCACCCGTGTCCTGCATTGTTGTGTTAGCATACTAATGTTAGCGCACTTTTGTTAGCTTATAGCTTCACATATTATGTAAATTGACACAGAATGAGCGTGATCTAAAAACACTTAGGTGACATCCAAATAATCAGTGAGTTGGCCGTCCCGTCCATGAAAACACAGCTCTGACAACAACACAGCTAGCGGGACTCAAGCTTCTCACTCAATGTAGACAGTCATGACTCAGAGAGACATTTACAAAGGATAGACTTGATTTTGAAACATTTTGACAACCTTTTTAGGGAATAACTAAAAACCTCTTCGAAGAATCTAAGAGAAAGCATAACGGACTTCTTTAATTTAGAATAAAAGTGTGTCTCTTTGGTGTCTGACCTTGTGCTCGATCATGCTTCTGATCTCAGGCAGGAAGTTCTGGCTGATGACGCGGTAAAGGTGGCGGTCCTGAGGGGAGGTTTTGTCCTTGATGCTCTCTGCCAGACTGACCCACTGCTCCTCTGTATCACACACGAGGGACCACCTGCCTCGTTTACGGCCTTGGTAGAAGCAAAGTGGAGACACGTTGGCTCATTGTGTCCAGGAAAAATATGTAGAGACATTTAAATTGATTTAAAACACTCACTTCTTAATGTGCTGAACATTAAATATTAACGCTTATATTTGTAAATTCCTTTCACCTTTGCTGGGACGCAGATCCTCCAGCCCATTCTCTGTCTTTACCTCGGTCACGTCAGTCACCTCAGTTTCCAGCTCACTGAAAGTTAAAAACATTCAAGAATAATACATCCAAATCCTCTCAAGCTCACTGACAATAAGTCTGTTTTTATCTACGTCCATATTGCTCTAGAATTTATTTTATTTTTCAACAGATATCAGGTTTTTCAGTTGTGACTTAGAGAAAAACTGTATATTTATAAGGCCCCTTCCTCAGCTGGGGCACTGAGTGCTCAGGTCTCTTTAAAAAAAACACACAATCAAAACAACAAATGGAAGGGGCGCCGGTAGCCTAGTGCATCCCATGCACAGAGGCTCAAGTCCTAGAGAGAGGGCGGCCTGGGTTTAAATCTGACCTATGCCTCCTTTTCAGCATGTCATTCCCCCCCCCTCTCTCTCTCCCCGGTTTCTGACTCTATCCACTGTCCTATCTCTTAAATAAAGGCATAAAAAGCCCAAAATTAATCTTAAAAACACAACACATGGAAAACAGCAGTGGTATCTGCTATGACAGTTCGATCCATGCTTTCTTTTACACTTGTGCAAGACATGCACAACTACACGTCAGCATCTCTGTGCAGTTCACGGTTGGCAGTGACAATGAACTAAAAAAAAGGTTATTTTCTCACCTCAGCTGAGGGTCTTCTAGTTTTATCTTCTTTGGTGGTCTTCCCCTTTTCTTCTTCTCTGGAAACCCCAGCTCACTGGAGTCACTTTAGGAAAAAACAGAAAAACTCTTAATTATAGCCTCCTCACACGGGTAATTAGCAATAGGAGACCTCTAAAATCAACCCTTGTAAATTACTGTCAAACTGCCACTGCAATTACACATTTACTACATGCACCGGTAAACCACAGAAAACATGTACCTTTACTCAACTTCCCTTCCAGAGAGAGAGAGAGAGAGAGAGAGAGAGAGGAGAGAGAAAAAGAGAAAGAGAGACAGAGAGAGACAGAGAGAGGGAGAGAGAGAGGGAGAGAGAGGGAGAGAGAGGGAGAGAGAGAGGGGGAGAGAGACAGAGAGAGACAGAGAGAGACAGAGAGAGACAGAGAGAGACAGAGGAGAGAGACAGAGAGAGACAGAGAGAGACAGACAGACAGAGAGATAGAGGGAGAGAAGCGCAGGCACACAAATGAACTGCAGGATGCAAAACAGAAATTGGTAGAGCTTATTTCAGCCAAGAAGAGCTAGAGAGAGAAGTGTCCTGTGTGTTTTTTTACCTGATCTTCTCTGCTTTCCTCTTGCCGGGCTCTTCTTTGTACATACGAGTGCCGTAAAAGTACCAGTAGAGGGCTCCATTTCCATCCTGCCCCAGGGGTTCAACCCTCAGGCTGTCTGCATCTAGGCCCTAATGGGTGGGGGGGTTGTGAGTGGGGAAAATAAATAGCATTTCTTAAATCATGTGTGGGACTCCATTTTTAAATCATCAGTCATCTCTGGATGATGTCATTCAGTCCTTTGAGCCCACACGGATGTGAATCATGAGCCGACATGAAGCCCTCTCAGTGTCTCCTGCGTACTTAGTGTGTGCATAAATTTAATCTGATGAATTATTTTTGTGAAGCTTATCTCCTGGTGAAAATGTATCTGTCTGAAAATGATAACCCAGAAAAGATGGCAGTAAAATATTATTGTTAGTGATAACAAAATCATCTGTTGCAATTTAAAATGTTGATGAAGATCCTCCTCAGGCCACAATTTAACAATCGTGTAGTGGTCAAAGAGTGAAAAGGTCTCTTAATACGTAAATATTCTCCAATCAGTATGTCTTAGGGGTTGCATGACTTCAGTTGTTTTTTAAAGTCAACAGTCATGTGATAATAGTAGAGTCGATGTGGACTAGTCCCTGATGAAGTTATCAATGAACCGACAGGAGAAGAGAATGAACTAGCGAGTTACAGTAGGACTAAAGTTGTTTGTAGACTGCTGCAGAGAAGACTGGGGCCGCTCCTCTACTAGTATTAGCGGGGGCCTTTTCAGATGAGCGTGCATGCCGGTTTCACTTTTGTACTTAAGGACGTATATTTTTGAAGTTACCGTAGTTCTGTTTTTTACTGAAATATTCTCAACACACTTGATGTTTACCTCTGTGCAGTGGTCAATTAAACCCCTCACCTGCTGTCTTTATGGAAACATCCGTCTGGTTAACACCTAATTATGTGATAAGCGATGAGTCGACATGAGACGTAGAGTGTCAGCAGAGCTGTAAAGTCAACACGTTCTCTCGTCTGTGCGATCCCTAGTTTGGATCATACATTAAGCTTTACGAGGATAAAACGCTTTAAGGGGAGAACGATCATATTCATGTTTTTTCACAGATGTTTTTATTCATTATTCCCCTCAAGCTTTAGGCTTTGATTTTCATTTAGCAGTGTCGAATCATTCTTAACAGACTAAATCACTAAAAACAAACATGTCCACATCATTTAAACTGGTGCTCATGGACGTACCTTCAACAGGTCAAAGACATCGGCAGCATCCAGACGGTAGTCGCACAGCCGGTGCAGCAACTCCACCTGTGTGCGAGGAGGGAGGTTCTCAAAGGTGTCCTCTCGCAGTGGGTTCGGCTTCCCTTCCTCCAGTTCCCACCTGTAGCTGATGATGTCGTCCAGGTAACTGCTGAACGACCGGGGGCTATAAGTGGAAAACAGAAGAACGGGAGAGTGAGAAAGACAGGTACAGGTTGTTTCTCAAGAGAACATAAAGAACTTAAACTGTGACAAAAGATTCTCAACTTCAGGTTTAACCTCTAACCAACAGAGACAATGACACGCAGTACTATCAGTGGCATGATAGATATTTTATTCACAAACTAATTTCTTCAAGTGAAATATGACATGTAAAGGTCAATTAAAAAGGTCATTGGCTTCATTTTTCCAGACCACAGGTTGCCGCTTGGTCAAGCTAAGGCTACTGTGCTTCCTGTTTGGATAAAGACTAGCTTTGTTTTGAAAGAGAAAAAGAAACTTCCAGGTTAACGAAGGTCGTGAAGGTACCTTGACTACGAACAAACAAACTTGTCACTGACAGAAAAGTTATGGATTTAATGTAAACGGCTAAAAGGAGCAGTAAAAAGTGAAAAGGTTCAATGGTAAGCAACCCTGAAGAGGCATAAAGCTCCTACAGTGGTTTGTGTAGTGTTGTATGCTTTGAAAAACAACATCAAAATCTTTCGGAGGGATGCTACAGAGGACCTGAGTGAACATGCTGATGTATAGGGATTAAAAAGTGTAATAAATGTAGGGGAGCCAATCCATGGAGGAACTTAAAAACAAGTAATCACAGAAGCATTTTGCACATACTGCAGGCGTGAGAGGGAGGACTAAAGGACCCCCATGTAAAAGGAGCTACAGCAGTCGAGGCGAGAGGTAATAAAAACGCACGGTTGACTTTCTCAGTGTCATGAAAACAGCTTCGCTATGGCTACAGCTGATAGCTGGAGAATGCAGCCTCTCACCACAGAGTTGATTTGTTTATCAAATTTAAAAGATGAGTCAGAAACTCAGTCGGCCGAGTTTATTGGGAGGTAGATTGGTGGAAACAGAACAGACACACAGAGCAACTTCACTTTTCTGTTTGTTAAGTGTTATCTATGCAGTCTTTAATGTCCTGAAGAATTCAACGTACGGTTGTAAAGACTGAGGGCTGTGGTATAAACAAATATTTTCCCCCAAATGTTTGTGTAAGTGGCATAACAGTGAAATCGTTAATTTTCGTAAAGAAATTGAATGCATTTAGTATAACCCCGAATTTCCACATACTGCCATGCATGCCATGGTCCGCCAGAGCCTCGCCTTAAGCCGAAGTTCGCTGCCACTCTAGTCAAGTGCTGCTATGCTCTGCTACGTTTCAAATACGCTGCAAGTCTATTTTCGACAGAGTACACTGCAGGCACGCGTCAGGCTGGACAGAATATGACAACCCGGACAGGAAGTCAGACAAGGAAACGCACAGAGCGTCTGGTCAATAAAAAAAAATTAAAACAATATACAGACTCACGCTCGTATTTTTCATCACTTTATCAACATTACCTAAAAACAGGCACAGAATAAACAACAAATCATCCTCAGAAAGACAAAGCAACATGTTTTTTGCATGTTTTTCTCTTTATTCCCCCTTGATCTTGTAGTTCTCCCATGTTATGTGTACAGCTGCTGATCATGGCTGCGCTCACATTTCAGAAACGGATCCAGTGGGGCAAGGCACATGCCGAGCAAAACTGTGGCGCTTACGGACTGTGGCGCGCACAAAGTATGCTGGGATTGGGGGTCAGGAAGAATTTAGAACAAAGAAACAATGCATAAAATATAAACGCAATGTAAGTGCACTGAGTTAAGCAACAGAAATAAGCAAATTGCAAAAGTAATGGCGATGACGAGTTAATTACATGCAGGATCATTTCCTGTGTAGTTGTTGAAACGTGCTTGTTTAAACAAACAGTAAAAACCTGATAACAAAAGTAATTTATTTCCAAAGTAAAAGGCCGAGATTAGTTAAAGCCACTTAAATATTGTTAGACACATCGATCTGACTGTTGTTACAGACAGAGACGTTACAACGAGCGTTATATTGGAGCATATTTGTGCAAACTCTAGTTTGAAGCAACAGTTAAAACTAGCTGAACAAAAGGTTTATTTTGGTCCACTTGAATCTGTCAAAATGGATTGTTGTAAATCAATTCAATTGCAAATGTTTGGTGCGCGTTATAAAGACAACAGACAATGTTTCAATATCAACTGGTGTCCTTTTGTAGAGCGCAGCTTAGAAAACAAACAGAGTTCAAACCACCACAGTGGCCTGTTCGACAGAGGAGGTGGGGCTGAAAAAAAAGAGTAGTTTCTCTGAATGGGAGTGAGGTTGTATCTCTGCTATGAGAGGGAGCTGGTAAATAAACGCTGGTTCCGGTTCAGGTCTAGCCGATTAATCTGTACCTTTCAGTTCCAACTCACATGAGCAGAACAAGAGCTCTGGGGCAGGGGTGAACATCTATGAGAGAAAAAGGGACAGAAAAAAAATGGCTTATCTTGAAAGAGCAGCGTGCACTTTTCGCACAGCTGCAGGCTCCCCTCCTCCTAGCAACCCCATCCCTCTCCGACTTTCTGTCCCTCGTTCTCTCTGGCATCCTCCCTCCTCTCCCTCCTTTCTCTCCCCCGCTCCGGCAGAGCGTTTAACACGCGCGGATGAAAAGGGCAGCTCAGTGAAAGGCCAGTGCCGAGCAGCCACCCCCAGGATGCCAGCGCCTGTCCAGTCTAATAAAGCAGGTTGTCCTCCTGTTACCAGTTGTCTAGGCGGAAAAACTGGATCATTCCTGCCTCTCTGCTTATCGGTTCACTGGTACCAAGGAGCTGCTCTCTAAAGTTGTCAACATGTTTGATGCTTTCAATGCCACAAGTTCTAAAACGCAATGTAATCTCTGTTACTATATTGAAAGTACAAAAGTAAGTTCAGAATCTTACAAGTACAGAATTAGATTTTTTTTTTAAAACATCAGGTTTATTTTCAGAATAAAACATTCTGTTTCGGCAGTTTGGATCAACGCCCTTATGTGTGTTTGTTGTATAATAGTTTTGATACAGACTTAAACTGAACTCATCAAATCATCTTGCACCGTCGCTAGTGAATCTGTAATTACGACGGGAACACCTTTTTCTCAGCCCTCCAGTTGTCTGGCGGTGCTGCTCCATGCTACACTCTGAGAACACAGCCTGTGGGTGTTGACGGACGAGGAAGCACAGAGTTGTACCCGAGCGGAGCACATGTATCTGGTGGAAGTTCTGGGTTACGGCAAACAACAGCTACGAGAGCTACGAGAGCTACGAGAGTGGAGAAGATGATTGTGGAAAGTCCAGCAGATTTGAGGGCTGATTTGCAACATGTCTGCAAAGTGTCTATTACTACAGACTCGTGGACAGTTCTAACCATGGAAAACATAGTGGAGATACATGACTGACGTTTTCTGTTTTTGCAGTAGCAAAACATATAAAACGAGAGTATTTGATAACGCTTTCATGAGGCAATGAGAGTACTTTTAAAATCACTGAAAATGCCCATCCCTAGTCCCGACCTTTCTCTCTGATGAAGGACCAGAGGAGGAGGTGGGTGAAGGGGGAAAGCCCCACGAGAGATTAAACATATTAATGGATTTAAATATCAACGTCTGATATTTACTCACTTTCTCCCGTCACCTTATCACGAGGAAAAAAAATGTTTTAGTGGTTTCATTGATCAATGTGAGAGTAGAGCATGATCAGCGTGAGAGTAGATCATGATTTCACCACAAGTCAGGATATGGTGGGTAAATTATGACTCCTCAGCGAGTCATGTGCCGTGACTCACGCTTCCTGAGAGTTCCTGGGGGTTATGACTAATTCAGGTAGGTTAGAAATGCTGGTTGTATTTTGGCAGCCACAAATGAAGCTGAAAGGAAATATTTATTGGTTATTTTCCGCTGTAACTCTGAAGTTTGCAGGAGATGCTTTGAATGTTTCCAGTTGTGACAAAGAGAAAATGGTTCATCAGGGTTCTATATAGAACAACAAGGTTATATATCCTCTACCAAAGAACCATCAGTCTTAAAAGGTTCTATAATATTTCTGTAAGACAACAAAGAACATTTTTTTAAAGGCTGTAGATTGATAAGTTTAAACATACCTGATGTCATTGCGCTGGTAGCAACCCTGCAACAGACAAGCAATGAGGTCCCCAAGAAAGTCCAAGTCTTGCTCTGACAGGGCTTTCTCCAGCTCCTGGACACACAACAAAGAAAGTGGTCAATGTACACATTAAGAGCCATTTTAGATAAAGGATTAGAGATATAGTGCAACAAGGTATGCATTTACAGGTATAACATGTTAACTACATGTTTCTACATATCAGCTGCACACAGATGGAACCAGTGTATCAGAGTAAGGTGAGCTGGCAGAGGTAAACAGCAGGAGGGACGGTTGTAATTTCCAAGTTATCTGGTTTTGGCTTCTTGGTGTGCCAGTTGTGGTTTGGCTGGGGAAGAGGTTCAAGTTCAGCCATGACCCCTCTCCTGCCTGGCTTTGTGTTTCAGCCATTGAGGTTTTATGAAGCGGCAGTAACCGGCAGAGCAAACTCTAAAAGACCTGAAAGCACCAAGGAGAGACGGCAGGCAGCAGGGGCCGAGAGCTGCGAAACACAGCACTGGCCCCCTCCTCTCCTCTGCTGACCAACCAAGACAGAGCACCCCACACAGATTCCCAGCATGCACCACTTTCCCCAATGATACCCAGAGGCTCTGAAATAAAACAGGAGGGGAGAGAGAGGGAACAGGAGGCTGAGAGGGCAAAAATGCAAATGTAAAGTGCTCCGTCAGCCAAGTGTCCATTTCACTTAAAGCCCCCTTTTTGCTGGATGCAAAGCAGCCCCTTCAGGCTGAAGCCAACCAGTTGCTCTTTAGAAAAGGAACATGACTGACTGCAGCTGATCTCTCCTCACCCCTCCTGATCCCTGCTCTCACAGGAACAACAGATCCAAACTCTTTCTGTGTCCCACAAACATTCACAAAACTACCACTACAAGTTCAGGAGGGGGGAAACCAGTCCAAACTTATCTCAAGGACAAGGAGACACGTTTAATTGTTGTTCACTAGCTCATGTCACATCAGTCTGCCTCTCTCTCTCCCTCTGTCTTAAGGAACCAGGTTGGTCTCAGGGGTCCAAAAAGGTCAGTGCACACACCTCCCAGCCAAGGAGAACGACGGAAACCAGGAGCCAACGAGTCAGCGAAATAAAAAACAGAAGAAGAGGAGGGGAGAGACAGACAGGAGGTTGAAAAAGAAGTTGAAAAACAGGATGAGTTGAAGGCTTCTGCTTGAGGACAGAAAACAAAATAGAGTGAGGGAAAGTCAATACAGTGTAAATATTTCTGTCTCTGACTCAGGCTTCTGTAGATAAATACCAGGAGAGCGAGTTTGATGACAGGAGATGATAATAATCACCTACGTCCCATGACTCAAAGGAGGAACAATTTTAAGCCCACACATTATTATACCTGTTGTGGAATTGAATGTTGTTTTCACACTCCTGAAATTTCCAGAAATGTTCAGGGTGAGTTGCAGGTCTGAATGCAAACAGCCATATTTTTTACCCAAACTTTACCTGGACTTTTCCTGCCAGCCTCTTGGTGAAACTTTCATGTGATGTCGGAACAAGTTGATGTGTTAGCACAGCAGGAAATATTCATGACAAATCACCACTAGCAAGAAGATGGGGGTGATGATGCTTACATTGTAATAAAGTTGCTTCATATTCTTCTGCTCACCAGTACTTGTTTTGACACTTGAGCAAGCTTTACTGACGCAACATATTTGTGCAATTTAAACAGTCTGCAATTAATGGTAGATAAAAAGAAGGATTAACCGAATATTGAGTAAGCAGACCAGAGCCCAGTTTAATGACAAGTAAGCTCCGCTCTGTACCAATATTTCTCGAAGGGGGAGAAACTCATGGAGTCCTTCTGTGTCAATTAAGGAGCACCTATCTATCAGTCAGCTTCTATCATGTGGCACTTTCATTGTAGCTGGGGTTGAAACTGGCGTTCTACACCTGTATGACTGCAAAATAAACTAATTCCCCTGTAATATAACTACAATATACTGATGCACAGGATGCTAAGATCACTACATAATACAAATGGTGAAGCCAGAGCTACACATTGGCACAGACACACCTTTAAGGTAGAAGGAAGTCACAGATTTAACTAACATAATTCCTGTTTTGCCATGTAAATGATGCAGGGAATCTGAGGCAAAACAACTGCAGCTATTCAGCAGTTTACAGATGACCTAATGGGTTGAGGTTAGTCTAATCTTGTTGGTGGTGAATGCCCTGTGATGGTTGCCAAGTTGCATTAAAAAAATGGAAGTAATGTTAACTTCCTATCCTTCCTATTAAAGACAGACATCCCAAAAGTTTTTTTATTTTACACTGAAACAACATGACAATAAAATTTGAAATTGAACGAGCTGATGACCTTCACGAGATATGGTGATAACAATATGAAAAATAAACTTAACGAGGAGTTATTAGCTATAAATCCTCAGTTTCTACGTCTATGTGCTGTTCTTCATGTTTTACACAAGCTGTGTTTGCAACTTGTCCCCCTAAATCCAAAATGAACCCAAAGCGCAAAGTGAAAGCATAATCCCCTTTTCAGAGTGTCAATCCGAAAGAGCGCTGAAACTGAGCTGTTTTGAATTTCTTGGGCTAACAAAGCGCTACCTTCCTGAAAGTCTTTGTACATTTATACTGATTTAGAAAGCAACAGCGTGATATTGATGTCCCTGTCTTTGACACATTGTGTTATGCTGTTCAGGATGCATGATGTGAAGAGAAACAGCTGGACCTCCACATATTCACACATGAGCAGACACACAACGCTGTTCTCCACCGATATCCTCTTGCCCCTATAACGCCTGTCACTACCTCTGATGCCAGAACAGAGGCTGGATCACTTCAACCCCCCCCTCAATTGTAATCTTTGAACCAACACAAGTACAAATCAAGTGATATTTGGGCACTGATGGCCAAACGGTTGGGTCGCACTGAATGTACAGAGGCTGTAGTCCTCGAAGTGGACGCCCTTGTTCAAATCTGACCAGCGGCAGATGTAATGTTTTTTAAGTTTGGGTAATTTTTGATTCTATATTATCAAAATAACACGTATTACAACTGCATGTTGCTGATCTTCCTAAGAGACAATGTAAGACGCCGACACTGAACAGTCTATCCAACAGGAATCAGCAGTTAGGTAAATTAGCCTGCCATGCATCAAATTAATGTGACACAACAAAAATACATAGTCTACTGATATTGGTTCATGCCACATTATTTGCCAATGGGCTGATGTTTCTCAACAAGGCAGATATCGGCTGAAACCGATGTTCAGCCAATGCATCAGTGCATCTTTAATTACAGCCAGTGACCTAACGTCCAAGACAGGCAAGTCAGAGTTTTGACAACAAAGAGAGTTAAGGTTAAAAGACTCCTCATGCATGCGTTATGGCTTCTTGAAAGGCATGCAATGTGAACTATACAGCTGCAGAAGTATGTCATAGTAACCATTAGCTCTGATCACTAAATGGTAGAGAGATAGTGCATATCTGAGGGTGTACGAGAGATCCTGTGTCACCCTCCCTTCCACTTCCTGGTCCCCTGTCAGGCCGCCTCTGGGCCGTAGAGAGCCCATCCATCAGAGAGAGGCTGTACTTTGATCACACTTGGAAAAAGCTGGGGGCCAGGGCCGGGGGAAGAGTGGAGTTGAGTACGACGCAGCAGAGTGGAGGGCCTCGCTACAGCCCCTGGATTAACACCGCCCTGTTCCACCTTTGAAGTGCCACACGGCATCTCAGATGGCAGAGGGAAGGGGAATTAATGTGGTGTGCATGCCCTTTCTTTATCCATCCATCCAGCTGGCCAATCCCTCCTCGCCCTGTTGCTAACACACTACTCTGCTTTATGAAGGTCGGCAAGGGACACTTCACTGCAGATGGAAACGTCCTATAGGAGCCTCTCCCCTCTAGAAGCTCATGAGGTTGTCAAAATGTTTGATAGCACGTATTTTAAAACATTATAATTGCTGATATTTTAATGATCGATAGTGTAGAAAAGTACCGAAAACCTACAGATGTGTCACAAGAGACAGACAGCAAGAGCACTGTCCAAGTTGCACAACAGCATTGTCAACGTTTCACTCCCAAAATGTTGCCAATATAACTGTGCAATTTAGACAGTTTGCGGGAATTTGCTTGCAATTTTTTATTCATTAAAAACGAGACGATTCCCACATTTGGGTGTCTGGGACTTTTTTTTTGCTGTGGTAACCAACAGGTATCAATATTGCTTTAACTTGGAATCGTATGAAAGTTTATACAACACTAACACACACACAAAGTAGTTTCCTAACTTCTACACTACAAGAACACAACCACAACCTTTAGCAAACATTGTCAACAACAGACAAAAGCCCCGATAGCAGCGTTCATACATGCATGTGTCTCAACAGTAAACACAGACAGTACTTTGGCTACTTCACATTAATGATCAATTGAACCTAAAGATAAAAGAGCTGATAAACGATTATTGCTCAGCTTCTGCAGTGAACAAAACAGGCTTTACTCACACACCAGGACAAAGATTGGACGGCGAGTCAAGGTTTAGTCAAAAGGTGTGTCATCACCACAGCCCCTATATAGGCCAGGCATGCAATCAGCAATTCAGCCTGATCAATTGAACCTAAAGATAAAAGAGCTGATAAACGATTATTGCTCAGCTTCTGCAGTGAACAAAACAGGCTTTACTCACACACCAGGACAAAGATTGGACGGCGAGTCAAGGTTTAGTCAAAAGGTGTGTCATCACCACAGCCCCTATATAGGCCAGGCATGCAATCAGCAATTCAGCCTGAAGGTATTTGCCACTTCTCTCACCCGTTTCCCCCCTGCTGTTTCTCTCTCTCTTTCTGGTTTAACCTCTCAGTGCTCTCTTCCACACCATTTTCCTCCCCGTCCTGCTGCTCAGGGCCTACAAGGGCCTCTGAGGCATTCTATTATTCCCCTGACAACACCCTCGCCCCACTCTCCACCCCACTCCTCTCTCTGTCCTCCTTATCTCCTTTCTCCTTACACACAGTCAACAGACTCCTCACTCTAGCCAGTCGCCAGCTTCGAGGCAGCTGAGGACAGTGTAGACGCTTTACAGCAACAGAAAACTTGATTACCAAT